TTTCTATATTGAGAAACAATGGTTTTATTAAGGAGGTACAGTTGGCTCTGTCTCTGGCTCTCACCTGGGCCCCCTCTGCTGTGTGCTGGTGGTGTTGCTTGGTCTGCCTCTTTGGTCTGCCTCTGTCGGCATCCGGCTACAGCATCTGGTCGGGGATAATGCTCGTATAGTCTCTGGCCATCCACCTTGACGGTGACGGTGACTATATTAACTATAATACAGCATATCTGTACATATGCTTCAGTAAGCAAAATAATCACAGTTACTCCTCGGGACAAGCGTGACTACAGTCATGGTAGACTGACCCCTGTGTAACACTCGCCCCCTACCAATTAGAAATATCCCGAGGAGATTTCTCCTAACCAATTAACTGACTATATACAGTACACTCAGTAACATATCGTCAGGCTTATGGTTATACATCTTTACACACTCATCAGTTAATAACAAACATTATTACAATTATACATTTGACTATTTGAGTTATACAGCTGGAAAATTCTCTCCACATTCAAATGATTGAATGAGTGTCTTGTATTCGAGAGGACCTATTTCCACCCTTATCTCGATTAGTCCCTTGATGTTCTCCTGTACACAGGGCAAACCACTTCTCACATTGCTTACCCGGATGTGGCTGTCGCCACCTGGTGTCCCCTGACCACTTCCCTGGTTCTCTCTCCGTCCCGACTTTTTGGCGCAGAGCCAATGTTGCGTCTGTGGGCAGAAACCTCTTGCTCCGAATGCATCGATGCCATCTCGTAACTGGGAGTGTCCCTGGCCCCTCTCCAACCTCTCCCCTCCGGGTTAACCATTTTTTGAACTTTCTATGATCTGACACTATTCCTACGATACTTAATACGATCGATATTGCCAATATGACATAAGGCCATTTTGGTTTCTGACCCTCTTTGACTTCATTCTACATACACTTCTGTTCGTTAAAGGTCACATGCAACGTAAAACACAACTTTGCAGATTCTGATACCTTTCGGTATGGACTAACCGAAACAAAGCGTGAAAAATGCAAATTCAACTTATAAAGTTGAAAAATAACGCGATGAAATAAACCGCACGAAATCGGAGTTCAAACGTTTCACTAATTTTCCCCCGACTTTTCCGGGGAAAACTGGTTTCAACAGCTGGGCTGCGCTCATAAGCACGTGCGCAGTGAAATAGGTTCGCGCAGCTTGGAAGCGGGTTGTCCGGTGAATACTCGGTGAAGGCTTTGGTGTGAGCTATTTTTCTAATGTTTTGTTGATATCTCACAGGCGCGAGCTTTTTATATGTTATGACAGTAAATTAACTGTTTATATAATTTCATTTGTCTATTTCACCACACGTTATTCTTACCGAGTCACTTTCTCAGTTCGATACTTAAAAGCAACGTCACTATTTAGCGTTGACAGAATTTCTAACTGTGATATAGATATGTCGTTGTCACAGACAAAACTCAATGTCTTGTTTTATTGACACCTGTGTGTCTGCCTGCCTGTCTGCTAATGACAATATTCAATACACAGCTGCTGTCACTGACCACATGCAATTTGAACTTAACACCAATCAGGCTATACACCATAAACCATTGATTTATGGCCCGAGTTCGGTCTCTGTCACATTATGTAATTACACAGACAGGCAGGTGTGATACTTGAACACATGACATGTTATGATGTCTGTTGATTGTCTGTTGATACAAAAAAGGAGCATGTATTTACAAAACCCAACATCTCTATATATACACACACAATGACCCGTGAGGGCATCTGCAAATGAACCAGCCGTTACACTTGAGTGCACACCCACCCGCTCTGACTGGGTTCGGTATCCCGGCTGCTTCGTTTCTTGGGAAGTAAACCCAAGTACACAATATTGCACTTTTGATTTGCGATTGTACGCTTATAATTTTGTTTATATGTTTTTTCATAACCAGCAATGTATATTATATGTCATGAAGAAGTGATAATTGTGTTTTAATTATGTTTTGATTTTTTGGTTGCATGTGACCTTTAAGCAACAGGTATTGTTTTCAGGTTTTTAACTGGCCTGGTAATTTTGTTAGATTCGTCTTACTGGGGATGGAATGAGCAGGTTCCCGCCATTTAGACTTGGAGCACACTGATTTATGTGCTCATAGTGATGTTTGTACATTTTAGGCCAGTACTACTTAGCTTGATGGAGTCATATGTGTTATCTATGCCCAGGTGTCCATTGTCGTCATGGTATTGGTTAACTACAAGACTCTGTAGTTGTTAGGAACCCTCAGGCGTGTCCTCTTGGGGTCATTGGGGTACACTATGTTGGGCATGATAATCATCCTTTCTGTTCTACTTTGCCTGCCCACCCCATTTTGTGGGGTTCATTCCGTCTGTCATTGTGGGGTTCATTCCGTCTGTCATTGTGGGGTTCATTCTGTCTGTCATCGTGGGGTTCATTCCGTCTGTCATTGTGGGGTTCATTCCGTCTGTCATGTCCTTCAGTAGTACAGCGTTAGCACATACCCTCGGGTGAATGACAGACACTTCCGCTCTCGATCAGCCAAAGCCCTATACCCACGTTTACCTACTGATGTCACACATACCCTCGGGTGAATGACAGACACTTCCGCTCTCGATCAGCCAAAGCCCTATACCCACGTTTACCTACTGATGTCACACATACCCTCGGGTGAATGACAGACACTTCCGCTCTCGATCAGCCAAAGCCCTATACCCACGTTTACCTACTGATGTCACACATACCCTCGGGTGAATGACAGACACTTCCGCTCTCGATCAGCCAAAGCCCTATACCCACGTTTACCTACTGATGTCACACATACCCTCGGGTGAATGACAGACACTTCCGCTCTCGATCAGCCAAAGCCCTATACCCACGTTTACCTACAGATGTCACACATACCCTCGGGTGAATGACAGACACTTCCGCTTCTCGATCAGCCAAAGCCCTATACCCACGTTTACCTACAGATGTCACACATACCCTCGGGTGAATGACAGACACTTCCGCTCTCGATCAGCCAAAGCCCTATACCCACGTTTACCTACTGATGTCACACATACCCTCGGGTGAATGACAGACACTTCCGCTCTCGATCAGCCAAAGCCCTATACCCACGTTTACCTACTGATGTCACACATACCCTCGGGTGAATGACAGACACTTTTATTTTCCCATAACAATAATATATATAATTTATAATCACTTTCCTTAATGCTGAATGCATGGGTAATGCCTATTCTGGTCTATCCCGTGAAGATACGGGTTAGAATTGGTATTCAGTAACCCATACTTGTAAGAGGCGACTAACGGGATCGGGTGGTCAGAATCGCTGACTTGGTTAACACATGTCATCGTATCCCAATTGCGGAGATCGATGATCATGCTGATGATCACCAGATTGCCATTATTTACAGACTGCCGCCTTATAGCGGTGATATTGCTGAGTGCGGCGTTAAACAACAAAACCAACCAACTTTCTGGTCTCATCTTTGATAATCTTCAAACTGTAAGCACATCAGTGCTGGAAAAGTCTGATTTGACAAAGTTTACGTTGCTATCATAGGTTTGGAGGACATTAAGTATTAACTTGACAGATAATAATACACAACTCATACATCTTTTGTTAGCTGCATTGTACACACTCCTGCACTGACTTCAGAAGTTTTTCAACATTCTCTTTACGGGCACTAGACACATGCATGACAAGACATATTATCGTTATTTTGAGCAACAACCTTTCAATAATTGTGGGTCGTTTATACACAAAAACTGATGTCGTTCAAGCTTGACGTGTCTCTTGAGTATTGGTCAATGTTCCAACATGTGCACAGTCATGAACAGAAGATGTTCTAAATGAACTCTGGGCTGCCAAGTACAAACTTAACTCATGGTAAACAAATGGCACTATCTTTAGACAGAGCATATCTAAGGCAATGACTCCCATCTTGATATATATTACATTAAAACATTCGTTTCGCGCCTCGATAAGGATATTCAAATATTTGTTCACCCCTTATACCTGTCTAGACTGAATATTCTAAAGTCATGTTTTAACGAGTTTGTTGGTTGGTTGTCGTGGCACTCAGCAATATTCCAGCTCTATGGCGACGTGAACCGTGCCAATTTACATCTATCAAAGTCCGTGGTCTTTACTATTATAGGGAAAGTTGCGCTGGCTGAGCGGGTTAGACGGCCGACTTTGTGTGCGGGTGATTAGGTGCCTGACTCTGAGGGTGTGGGTTCGAATCCCAGATGGGACTCAACCCAACAAAAGCACTAGAATCTGTACTTCATTGAGAAAGTGTAATGTATAATATATAACATGTGTTACACAGTAATTGGACAAGATCTGCTATTCCTCGAAACGTTTGCGTTTTGGCCATCTAATCCACGAAAGGAAACACCGGGCAATGACCAACTACGTGCTTGTTATTGTTGTTCTCTATGTTAAATGTTATGTTCAACATGTATGTCGCTGCTATATTCAGGCATGTTGTCTTCACAGGCCTCGGCGAGAGTGCTTGAAGCATGTTTCTCGATTCTATAATCAAATTGTGTTTTTTTGTTTTAAACAAATTTTATTCATTCAAGAAAAGGATTGGGCACAAGTTATCCAACTTTGAAAAGCCCTCTCCAGAAAATTGCTTGCTTGATTGTAATTCAAATTCTTTTGCCTCAGGTACGAAGTATAGATAAAATAACTCGTTATTTATGAGGTTTAATTAAAATAGAATACATTGTATTTCAGCGACCGTTTGTATTTTTAACAAGAAAACAGTATAAATGGTCTATATATATATGGCCGGCGCCAGCTGTCATAGTATTGTTAGGATGATTTACTGACAAAAGTGAATAAATTACAAATATACTTTTGATCAAAAACAATATATACATCGTAATCAAAAGATGCTATTGTGTCTGGACGTGCCCATGGCAACGGGGAACCGGACTGGAAATATTGGCTAGTTGGCATCGGGACATCGACGGGTGTGCATAGACACTGACAAGTACTGACGCAGTGGACTACATACAGTTACTTACATTATAACGTTAATGAAATAGACAAGTATTTTAAAAATCAAGTTCTATTAATTGTTTTGCCACATAATAACATCATAGAATCGTTCCGAGTTGAGCAGTTTTGTAGTTGGTGTATTTCACTTTCTCCTGTGTCCATAAGTTGTAGAGTTGCTTGGCCTACATAGTGGAACTTACTGTGGTCACATGATCTAAAAATGGCGGACGGCACTACACAGGACAGCATGGGAGATATAGACGGGGCGACGATCTTGGCTCAAGCTTTGAAGACGCAGGTAAAAATGTCCAGATATAATTGCAGCTATAGCAGGGCTTATATGCACCGACTTTCATGGAATGACATCGTCGTAGTGTGTCTGTACTGGCCAACTTTCTCTCTCATTGACGAAAGATCATAGTCCAATAGGCCTATTTCTTTATCTGTGTATGCCAATCGTCTTCCAAACAAATATTTACTCTTGCAACCGGGACCATGCCCAAATAAATAAAACATTCTAGGTACCGCAGTTTTTCTGTTGCTTTGTGAAACTTGAATATTACTATTTGTAGCAATACCTCTTCTAGATCTAGATCTATTTATGAACCATCGAATCTTCGCTGTTGCAAATACATTTATGAAATTATGTCCCAATGTGACATTTTACAAGAATCAATACACAATTCATTGAAACACTAAAGAAAAGTCCATTACTTGTTCAGAATTATTCTGCTATTTCCTATCATTTTTGGATAGTTACAATGAGATATTATTATTTTGACAAAAACACATGAAGTGTGTGCTAGAAAAGACTGCATGTGTGATTGTCACAAATTCAGTTGTTGTTATGATTGAGATAATTTGACAGGCTGTTGTTGGTGCTGACACTCCTGGATCCAAACACCTTGTGCACCAAGCTAGTCGGGGCTTGGGTAGCCTAGTGGTTAAAGCGTTCACTAGCCACGCTGAAGACATGGGTTCGATTCCCCACATACCCGTACAATGTGTGTAGCCCATTTCTGGTGTCCTGGTGTTTCACCTTGGACGACCGGTACCAAGCTAGTCTTGCTTGATTGTAATGATGACACAGTGTGTTTCACCTTGGACGACCTAGCTAGTCTTGCTTGATTGTAATGATGACACAGTGTGTTTCACCTTGGACGACCTAGCTAGTCTTGCTTGATTGTAATGATGACACAGTGTGTTTCACCTTGGACGACCTAGCTAGTCTTGCTTGATTGTAATGATGACACAGTGTGTTTCACCTTGGACGACCTAGCTAGTCTTGCTTGATTGTAATGATGACACAGTGTGTTTCACCTTGGACGACCTAGCTAGTCTTGCTTGATTGTAATGATGACACAGTGTGTTTCACCTTGTCATCACATGTTATAATTCCATCATTTATGTTTGTTTTGCATGTTGTTTAACGTCACACTCAGCAGTATTCCAGCCTTATGGTGGTGTGTAGACGACAACATCTGGACAAAACAGTTCAGTGATTGTCACCATGAGCATTAGCTGCTAGAGCTGGGAGACAAGGTGGTCAACCAGGTGACTAGCTGCATGGTTGGACCATGAGACCCAGCTAGTCTATGTCTGGTGAGCATGGTCGTCAAGGGAATGTTTCAGTAGGCATCCCTTGCTCAACCACACGATCATACTAGCCAAGCGCCACATTTTTGTCATGAATATCAAGGGTGTGAAACCAAGTTTCACCACATATTAAGGGTTATTAAAAGATGTATATGACATCGAGAAATATATTGCTAGAGAACATTTCAAAATAAATTTATTTGAGTGAAAATGGATTATTCTCCAAAATGTTTTACAGACCTTTTTTCCCAGTGGAAATTGTAACAGAATGCCATGCCATTTCTTATATTATATCATTACAAAACTATGTCTACGGAATGTTTCAAACAAAGTGTATCCAAGTGAAGCGAATGAAAAAAATGTATAAAAAAAAATAAATAGTGGCAGTAGGCGGGCGCTGTGGTCATCCGACTTGATCCCCTCTGGATGACCAGGATGTGAATGTTTCAGGGCATCGAGTACATGTTCGGGATTGTGGGTATTCCCGTCATGGAGATCGCAATGGCAGCCCAAGCAGAAGGAATTAAATTCATCGCCATGAGAAACGAACAAGCTGTAAGTTGTTTATAACGTGGGGGTAAGGAATCTGTATCCATGTCTGTATCTGCTGATGTGAGCCTTGTTCCTGGTATCAAGCTCATTGCTGCTTAGTGTCCATGTTTAGTGTCAATATTTAGTGTCAATACTTAGTGTCAATACTTATAGTGTCAATAGTTAGTGTTATTAGCTGAGCTTACTAGATCAAACACAAGTTTGATACTCATTGATAGACTCGGGTTTCAGACAAGTTTACTAAGATTGAATGTTTGATTGCATTATTATAAGTAACTTCCAATTGTTAATTTGTGATTAACCTCAACCCCACTGAGAAAGAGTAATCCCAAATATAACGTTTTACATCTGACCACTTTCTAAATGGTATGTGTGTTCATAGTCAAGTCAAACTGAAAATCTAAAATCCCCCATAGTCTCAGTGAGCTTGTGCCAGACAAGATTACAATTAACTATAGTGAAGAAGTGTGACATATTACCCCGTTAGTAGCATGCATTCACATTTGGAGATCACAGAATGTACTTACAGTCTACTCCCCTGGTCAACTCTGGGAAACTTGTGAAATATTTATACTTATTGGGGCTTTGACTGTCTTGACTTGTTGTCTGTGGACAAGCAGCATCTGATTCAGACCCAGATAGGTTACTTACTTGATTGCTCAACCATGTTTCTGCCATATTCCTATCATATGAAATGACATTAAAGCTGGTACTTGTTGGTTCCCTGTCTGGTGTTCAGTATTAGGGGTTCAAACCAGGACTGGGCCCCGTTCCTCAAAGCAAATGTAGTGCTAGGATGATCGTAACTCCCGTACAACTGCCGTAGCTCTACGATCGCTTTGAGGAGCGAGGCCCTGGTTGGCATGGAGGGAGTATGTATTGTCTGAGTGGGGTATCCAGGATAAACTACAGCATCTCAGTGGGCCCAGCTCTATAAACCAGGTGTAACCCTGGAGTAACACACACATAGGTGCATGGACATCACTGTTTCAGTGAAATAATCCCTAACGTAACCCCAGTTTGGAACATGTTATGAACGAAAACACAGATACAATTCAAACAATATTGACTGTCAGTTATAACCATTGATAATATATAACTGAGCGTCAAATTCAACTCAACTATAAACAATTGATTATTTCTATTCTAAGATTTTTGTTCATAACAAGATACATTTTTCATGTAATGTAAATTTGATGAATACAAACAAAACACTTTCATATATTTTCAGGCATCTTATGCTGCATCGGCCATTGGTTACATCACGTACTGTCAATTGCTGTCATGTACCATCACAACTAACTACTGTCAACCTTCCTTGCTGAAACTCATGTACCACCCTAACTACTGTCAACCTTCCCTGCTGAAACTCACTTACCACCCTAACTACTGTCAACCTTCCCTGCTGAAACTCACGTACCACCCTAACTACTGTCAACCTTCCCTGCTGAAACTCACGTACCACCCTAACTACTGTGCTGAAACTCACGTGCCACCCTAACTGCTCACAACTGCTGAAACTCCGTACCACCCTAACTACTGTCAACCTTCCCTGCTGAAACTCACGTACCACCCTAACTACTGTCAACCTTCCCTGCTGAAACTCACGTACCACCCTAACTACTGTCAACCTTCCCTGCTGAAACTCACGTACCACCCTAACTACTGTCAACCTTCCCAACCTTCCTGCTGTCAACCTTCAGCCTTGCTGAAACTCACGTACCACCCTAACTACTGTCAACCTTCCCTGCTGAAACTCACGTACCACCCTAACTACTGTCAACCTTCCCTGCTGAAACTCACGTACCACCCTAACTACTGTCAACCTTCCCTGCTGAAACTCCGCGTACCACCAACTCTGTCAGCCTTCCTGCTGAAAACTCACGCCACCTAACTACTGTCACCTTTCCCTAACTACTGTCAACCTTCCCTGCTGAAACTCACGTACCACCCTAACTACTGTCAACCTTCCCTGCTGAAACTCACGTACCACCCTAACTACTGTCAACCTTCCCTGCTGAAACTCACGTTGCCACCTAACTAACTTCCTGCTGAAACTCTAAAGCTTTCCTGCCTTCCCCTGCTGAAACTCGTACCACCCTAACTACTGTCAACCTTACCCACCCTAACCCTAACTGTCAACCTTCCCCCTGCTGAAACTCTGTCAGCACCAACTAACTACTGTCAACCTTTCCTGCAACCAGCATGCACCACCCTGCTGTCAACTTTCTTTGCGCTCATGTAAACTAACCACCCTAACTACTGTCACCTTCCCTGCTGACCTTCCCTAACTACTGTCAACCTTCCCTGAAACTCCGCATTGAAACTCTGTCTGCCACCCTAACTACTGTCAACCTTCCCTGCTGAAACTCACGTACCACCCTAACTACTGTCAACCTTCCCTGCTGAAACTCACGGACCACCCTAACTGCTGAGCCTTCCTGTCACCCTAACTACTGTCCTGCTGAAACTGTCAACTCTTCACTGCTGAAACTCCTCCTAACTACTGTCAACCTTCCCTGCACAAAACCCACTAACCTTCCTGCTAACACACTTAACTACTGTCAGCCTTCCCTGCTGAAACTCACGCATTGCCACCTAACTACTGTCAACCTTTCCTGCTGAAACTGCATTACCACCTAACTACTGTCAACCTTGCCTGCTGAAACTCTCACGTACCACCTAACTACTGTCAACCTTCCCTGCTGAAACTCGCGTACCACCCTAACTACTGTCAACCTTCCTGCTGCTGAAACTCATGGTGCACCCTAACTACTGGCTGGAAACTCACGGCCACATGTCTCTGCCAACCTTCCTGCTGGAACTGCACAAAACCACCTAACTACTGTCAACATTAACTTCGCGTGTCACCCTAACTGCTGTCAACTTTCCTTGCTGTGTACCACCCTAACAACTGTCAACTTTCCCTGAAAACAATAACTGTCAGCCTTGCCTGCTGAAACTCACGCCTAATCAGCCTTCCCTGCTGAAACTCTGCTGCCACCCTAAACTGTCAATTGACCAAACTTGTCAACCTTCCTGCTGAAACTCAATAACCTAACTACTGTCAGCCTTCCTGCCAAAACTGTCAATTGAAACTGTACTATCCTATGTCTTTGCATAATCACTTTTAATGATTTCCAACCAAATTCACCTGGGATGGCCAATGCCATGGAGAACTGCTGGTAAGTAAATAGTTGGTAGATAATAACCAAACAATAACTCAGTTGTCAGCCATCTTCCAGGCTTGATTGAAAACTTGTAACCATTTTAAAAATATTTGTCTTTGCATAATAGTTTTTAATGATTTCAACCAAATTCACCTAGCAATAATGGGATTAGCAATAATGGGATTAGCAATAACTGCATTTTGGAAATGTGTAATAAACTTTGTATATTTAAGAGTAGACTTGGCAAGGGTTGAAACTTGTCTTTGATGTTGGCTTGTGGATTCTCTGCCTCGGGAAAATGGTTGTCGCCATAGTGACATATATTTTTTATCTTATTACATTATCAGTGTTGTCCTGTTTGTAAAGATTTACAGTATCAATGGTGTATACGTTTCAGGCCATTGATTGTCATTGGCGGGTCATGTGATCAGAACCACGAAGCTATGGGAGGGTTTCAGGAATTCCCCCAGGTGAGAGTGACACAGGTGTTACTGAGTAGGATGCTTCGGGTTTCTACCGGTATTTTTGTCTCCGTCTCAGGCTCAAAATGTTCTGGATTGCGGTGAAAGTGCTTTCTAATATATGTTTATCTGATGTTTGTTTCACTGTTGTAAACTGTCCACTCAGTTAAACACCCCGTAAACTGTCCATTTAGTTAAGCACATGCCCTGTAAACTGTCCACTCAGTTAAGCACATGCCCTGTAAACTGTCCACTCAGTTAAGCACATGCCCTGTAAACTTTCCACTTGGTTAAACACATGCACTGTAAACAGTCCACTCAGGCAAACAAACACCCTGTAAACTGTCCACTCAGTTAAACACACCCTGTAAACTGTCCATTCGGTTAAACAAACACCTTGTAAACTGTCCATTCGGTTAAACAAACATCTTGTAAACTGTCCTCTCAGTTAAACAAACACCCTGTAAACAGTACACACAGTCAAACACCCTGTCCACTCAGTTAAACACATGTCTTGTATACTGTGCACTCGGTTAAACAAACATCTTGTAAACTGTCCTCTCAGTTAAACAAACACCCAGTAGACAGTACACACAGTCAAACACCCTGTCCACTCAGTTAAACACATGTCTTGTATACTGTGCACTCGGTTAAACAAACATCTTGTAAACAGTCCACTCAGTTAAACAAACACCCTGTAAACTGTCCACTCAGTTAAACAAACAGCCTGTAAACAGTCCGCTCAGTTACACAAACACCCCGTAAACAGTTCACTCAGTTAACGCAGCCCATAAACTGTCAACTTAGTTAAACACACACCCTGTAAACAGTCCACTCAGTTAAACAAACACCATGTAAACTGTCAACTTAGTTCAACAAACACCCTGTAAACTGTCCACTCAGTTAAACAAACACCCTGTAAACAGTCCGCTCAGTTACACAAACACCCTGTAAACAGTCCACTCAGTTAAACAAACACCCTGTAAACTGTCCACTCAGTTAAACAAACACCCTGTAAACAGTCCGCTCAGTTACACAAACACCCTGTAAACAGTTCACTCCGTTAAACAAACACCCTGTAAACAGTCCACCCAGTTAAACAAACAGCCTGTAAACAGTCCGCTCAGTTACACAAACACCCCGTAAACAGTTCACTCAGTTAACGCACCCCATAAACTGTCAACTTAGTTAAACACACACCCTGTAAACAGTCCACTCAGTTAAACAAACACCATGTAAACTGTCCACTCAGTTAACACACCCCGTAAACAGTTCACTCAGTTAACGCACCCCATAAATTGTCAACTTAGTTAAACACACACCCTGTAAACAATCCACTCAGTTAAACAAACACCCTGTAAACAGTCCGCTCAGTTACACAAACACCCTGTAAACTGTCCACTCAGTTACACAAACACCCTGTAAACTGTCCACTCAGTTACACAAACACCCTGTAAACAGTCCGCTCAGTTACACAAACACCCTGTAAACAGTCCGCTCAGTTAAACAAACACCCTGTAAACAGTCCACTCAGTTAAACAAACACCCTGTAAACAGTCCGCTCAGTTACACAAACACCCTGTAAACAGTTCACTCAGTTAACGCAGCCCATAAACTGTCAACTTAGTTAAACACACACCCTGTAAACAGTCCACTCAGTTACACAAACACCCTGTAAACTGTCCACTCAGTTAAACAAACACCCTGTAAACTGTCCCTTCAGTTAAACAAACACCCTGTAAACAGTCCGCTCAGTTACACAAACACCCTGTAAACAGTCCACTCAGTTAAACAAACACCCTGTAAACTGTCCACTCAGTTAAACAAACACCATGTAAACAGTCCACTCAGTTAAACAAACACCCTGTAAACAGTCCGCTCAGTTACACAAACACCCTGTAAACTGTCCACTCAGTTACCACACCCTGTAAACAATCCGCTCAGTTAAACAAACACCCTGTAAACAGTCCGCTCAGTTACACAAACACCCCGTAAACAGTTCACTCAGTTAACGCACCCCATAAACTGTCAACTTAGTTAAACACACACCCTGTAAACAGTCCACTCAGTTACACAAACACCATGTAAACTGTCCACTCAGTTAACACACCCCTTAAACAGTCCACTCAGTTAACGCACCCCATAAACTGTCAACTTAGTAAAACAAACACCCTGTAAACAGTCCGCTCAGTTAAACAAACACCCCGTAAACAGTTCACTCAGTTAACGCACCCCATAAACTGTCAACTTAGTAAAGCACACACCCTGTAAACAGTCCACTCAGTTAAACAAACACCATGTAAACAGTCCACTCAGTTAAACAAACACCCTGTAAACTGTCCACTCAGTTAACACACCCCGTAAACAGTTCACTCAGTTAACGCACCCCATAAACTGTCAACTTAGTTAAACACACACCCTGTAAACAGTCCACTCAGTTAAACAAACACCCTGTAAACAGTCCACTCAGTTAAACAAACAATATGTAAACTGTGCACTCAGTTAAACAAACACCATGTAAACAGTCCACTCAGTTAAACAAACACCCTGTAAACTGTGCACTCAGTTAAACAAACACCATGTAAACATTCCACTCAGTTAAACAAACACCATGTAAACAGTCCACTCAGTTAAACAAACACCCTGTAAACAGTCCACTCAGTTAACGCACCCCATAAACTGTCAACTTAGTTAAACACACACCCTGTAAACAGTCCACTCAGTTAAACAAATACCCAGTAAACTGTGCACTCAGCTAAACAAACACCCTTTAAACTGTCCACTCAGTTAAACACAACCCTGTAAACAGTCCACTCAGTTAAACAAACACCCTGTAAACAGTCTGCTCAGTTAAACACACACCCTGTAAACTGTCCCCTCAGTTAAACACACACCCTGTAAACTGTCCCCTCAGTTAAACACACAACCTCCTGATTCTACCCTCCCAGTTAGTGACACAACTTTTCACCCATCTAATCTGCTCCCCAGGTAGAGAGTGCCTCCAGTCGTGTGTACAGCAAGTTTTCTGTCCGACCAAGTCGCCTGACCCAGATACCTCACTGTGTGGAGAAGGTAAGGCAAACAACAAACTGGTTCTAGAACAGGCAAAATTATGAAATAATTACTCTATCCATACAGAATACAAATATGATCAGGATGAATATAAATATCATTAAACATTTGCCTCACTGGCGGTTCTGTCGTCTTTGCTGTTTCCAATCAGTCTTGTTCCCTACTGACCTTCCATTCCTGTCCTGCTGTCTCCAATCAGTCTTGTTCCCTACTGACCTTCCATTCCTGTCCTGCTGTGTCCAGGCAGCAGACCACATCCACAATAGGATTCTACAATAGATCTGTAAAGGGTTTCTTTACAGTGTCACCATGAGTTGGGTGACGGTTCAAGACATTTATCTGTGAGTGTTGGTATGTTGGATCATCTTTTATTATAAGAAGTCACAAGGGTGAGATAGTGCTTGTCATCCAGCCTAATTCTTCCATCTATGGTGGTTTGTCCTTTGACTGTGATGTCATGGTAACGGATGATGTCACTATACTCTGCAAGATGCTGTAGAGCATAGGAAAGATCACTTGACCTCACCCCAGCAATATCTCTCATTGAGACAAGTTCATTATGATAATTATCATTCTTGAGTGACAATATAATTTTCTCTGCAAAGAGACATAATTATTTATGTAATATCAAAAAAAAACAATTCCCAAATTAATTAACTATCTGAAAACCTAAGAATTAATCTTTCTTGCAGAAAAAATATTTCCAAAAGAAACAATGACGTGGAAAATTTTGAAAAAAAATGGTTTCCTTTCTTTCGATATCTCAATCATTGACGATGTTCAACCACCCTATAGAAGCTGGTATGTGTCGACGTATTTTACGTATTGCTTCTGTTACTGAGGCGGCAGAGTAGCCCAGTGGTTCGGTGTGGACCTGTCTCTGATGTCCATGATATTGCTGGAGTGTTCCTAAAAGCGGCGTTAAACCATGCTCACTCACTCACTTCTGTTAAAATAATATGTTTGCATCTATGTAACTATGGGAGTGAATAAAAAAAATATTTAAAAAAAGTTCTTGAGTGAGTATTTGTTTATTCCACTTCTGGCAGGACAGAGGACACTAGGAATGGGCTTCACATACTTTACCCATGTTGGGAATCGAAACCAGGTCTTAGGCATGACAAAGGAACTCTTTAACCACCAGACTACCCCTCTAGTCTCCCTGTAGAACGCCATTCCCCAGTCTCCCTGTGGAACCCCATTCCCCAGTCTCCCTGTAGAACACCATTCCCCAGTCTCCCTGTGGAACGCCATTCCACAGTCTCCCTGTAGAACCCCATTCCCCAATCTCCCTGTGGAACCCCATTCCCCAGTCTCTCTGTGGAACGCCATTCCCCAGTCTCCCTGTGGAACGCCATTCCCCAGTCTCCCTGTATAGTCTCCCTGTATAACGCCATTCCCCAGTCTCCCTGTAGAACGCCATTCCCCAGTCTCCCTGTGGAGGGGCGGTGGGGTAGCCTAGTGGTTAAAGCTTTGGCTCGTCACGCCGAAGATCCGGGTTCGAATCCCCACATGGGTACAATGTGTGAAGCCCATTTCTGGTGTCCCCCGCTGTGATGTTGCTGGAATATTGCTAAAAGCGGCGTAAAACCAAACTCAGTCAGTCAGTCAGTCTCCCTGTGGAACGCCATTCCCCAGTCTCCCTGTGGAACGCCATTCCCCAGTCTCCCTGTGGAACCCCATTCCCCAGTCTCCCTGTAGAACGCCATTCCCCAGTCTCCCTGTAGAACGCCATTCCCCAGTCGAACGCCATTCCCCAGTCTCCCTGTAGAACGCCATTCCCAGTCCCCTGTAGAACGCCATTCCCAGTCTCCTGTAGAACACCCTCCCCTGACTTTACTAAGTGCATGACTCACTACAGGCTGTCCGACTGAGCACATATGGCCGCCCGGGCGCGTGTTACCTCGACCTGTCTGGAGATATGATCACAGGGAAGACACATTCAGGTGAAGTCAGGTGAGGAAAGAACATTGCAAGAAATTAACGCATGTCCTAGTTTGTGCATTTTCTGTAATATACATATAATTCTCATAGGTAGAGCTCATACCGGTGTGAGCTTTGAACATCTGATTGTTTCTGGTGCCTTTACATGTGTGATACTGGTTGTACTGCCCAGGAAATATCGGAGTGATATAGAAAAACTTCTCAGTAGGCCTGTACTGGATGTTAGTGGATTACAACATGATTAAAACAGAAATATGTAATTCTGAAGGTCAAATAAATCGTCATTACAACATTTATGTTGCTTCCTTGATTATCCTGTGTACTGTGATCAGAGTAACTTCCCGTCATCCAAGCAGTCCCAGCACATAGCTGTCATAAGTTGCCACCAATAGTATACTTGACAGTTTTCTCACTGATGAGCTTGAAATCATCACTAAACATGTCTTTGGCATAGACTTGGAATAAAAATTCTGGCCTGTTATGAGAAAGTCATTGATGTGTTTCATCAAATGAGGCAACTGCTATGAGATTTCCCTGGGTATAAGAAGTACTTCCGATAACCTGTATGTACAAATACAACAGCTCACGGGGTTAGCAGTATTATTGCCACTTGTTCCAATCATAAAAGAACAACGGTATCAACTCAACGGTATCAACTTGACTCAGAATGAAGGCCCAAAGTATTTATCGTCACAGAATGCAGAAATAATTCCTGTAGAAGCAAGGAATAGAATTCTTAGTAAAGGTTCCCCTTTTCACAAACACAAATGTCACTGTTCCCTTATAAAGATATGTATTTTATTATATTAAAATGTGTTTATATTTAAGTGTTGTTTTTTAATGTAAATATTGCTTTGTTTCTCAGAGAAGTAAGCCAGTGTCCCCCTCCACCAGCTGTCATGGCTGACCCTGTCGCTGTCAAGGCTGCCGTTGACCTCATTACATATGCAGAACGACCTCTCATTGTCATTGGCAAAGGTGAACCAACACTATCAGATCAGTATGACCTTGAGATTTGATAGATAATATTGTTGCACACATTGAGATGATGGTATAAGGGGATTACAACCATGGACATTGTCATCTGAGGTCAGACACCTTGTCCAAATGCTCAAAGAGGTTAACCCCGTCTGCTGGCTGACAAGGTAAGGATGTGGGATGTTGCCATGCTCTGCTCCACCCACACGGAATATGTCTTTAACAGTCAACAGTCGACTACAACAGGAGCATTACCCAATGAAACCCAACTTATGGAAAGATGTCTGTGGTTCCGAAGGGGCACTGGTGTAGTCGAGTGTTTAAAGTGTTTTCTCATCATACCAAAGGCCGCCATTTGTGCACAGTGTGTTCTATGCTGTAGCTGAAATGTTGCTAAAACCAGCTGAAACAAACACACTAGCAGCTGAATGTTTCATTCTCAACTTGCTGAATCATTTGTCTATTACTTCATGGCCACTCACTCATTCACTCACTCACTCACTCTTTATCATATCTGATGCCTTGTGATTGTTTGTCATCAGTAACCATGGCAACTGTGTTGCAGGTGCTGCGTATGCCCAAGCGGAGGATGTCATACAGAGACTCGTCAACATGACGCAGCTGCCGTTCCTGCCCACGCCCATGGGTAAAGGAGTCCTTCCTGACGACAACACATTCTGTGTGGCATCAGCAAGGTCAAGGTCTGTTTCCTTATGGTTCTACAGATTTTCTGGTCTTTTTAGACATTTTATGGAATTGTGAATGGCCCATATACTGATATATCAGGGACGTGTGTCAGGTGAAGAACCAATCTTACTGCTCTTCATGACGATTTGCTATGAAGAGTTATCTCCCATTATTTAATGCATAGACCAGCTTAGCGCTGCCCGTTGTGCCTGTTATTATCTGTACACACCAATGGCAGTGACATGACTGGGTTGTCGGGCTAGGTCATGTAGTTGTTGTAGTGGGTCGTCATAATGTTAATCACTTGATTGTGTGGTCAAAACTTGATTATTTAAAGACTGGCAACACGTAACATGTGTTATATTTGGGATTACACTTTCTTAGTAAGGTACAGATTCAACACTTTTGCTGGGTTGAGTTCCATCTGGGATTCGAACTAACACCCTCAGAGTCAGGCACCTAATCGGCAGCACACAAAGTCAACCTCCTAACCCGCACAGCCACCCCGACTTCCACCGCATCATATAGTTGAGTTCTACATTAAACAACAACAAACAATTGTAACTGTACTCTGGGGTTGTTTATATATCTTTGTCTATCTCCCTTTAGACTGGTTTAACATGTTGGTTATGTTTACCAGAGCACTGAAAGAAGCTGATGTGATTGTGTTACTTGGCGCCCGTCTTAACTGGATGCTTCATTTTGGTATGCCTCCCCGATTCAGCCCGAAAGTGAAAATCATACAGGTATGATGGACGTGACATTCTGACTTTGTGCAAGAAATTGTGTACAGAATGATGATTGACTTAAAATAATCTAATCAGTCATGCTTTCCTGAAATCATTTACAATTCATGTTGACTGAAATAGTGAATTTGTTGCTCAGGTAGACATCTTGCCAGAGGAAATGAACAACAATAGACTGTCATCAGTGTGTCTAGTAGGAGATATACAGAGTGTTGTCGCACAGGTGAGATGTCATACTGTCTAGTAGGAGATATACAGAGTGTTGTCATGCAGGTGAGATGTCATACTGTCTAGTAGGAGATATACAGAGTGTTGTCACGCAGGTGAGATGTCATACTGTCTAGTAGGAGATATACAGAGTGTTGTCACGCAGGTGAGATGTCATACTGTCTAGTAGGAGATATACAGAGTGTTGTGCAGGTGAGATGTCATACTGTCTAGCAGGTGAGATGTCATACTGTCTAGTAGGAGATATACAGAGTGTTGTCATGCAGGTGAGATGTCATACTGTCTAGTGGGAGATATACAGAGCGTTGTCACGCAGGTGAGATGTCATACTGTCTAGTGGGAGATATACAGAGCGTTGTCACGCAGGTGAGATGTCAAACTGTCTAGTGGGAGATATACAGAGCGTTGTCACCCAGGTGAGATGTCATACTGTCTAGTAGGGAGATATACAGAGCGTTGTCACGCAGGTGAGATGTCATACTGTCTAGTGGGAGATATACAGAGCGTTGTCACGCAGGTGAGATGTCATACTGTCTAGTGGGAGATATACAGAGTGTTGTCATGCAGGTGAGATGTCATACTGTCTAGTGGGAGATATACAGAGCGTTGTCATGCAGGTGAGATGTCATACTGTCTAGTAGGAGATATACAGAGTGTTGTCATGCAGGTGAGATGTCATACTGTCTAGTAGGAGATATACAGAGTGTTGTCATGCAGGTGAGATGTCATACTGTCTAGTGGGAGATATACAGAGCGTTGTACAGAGTGTTGCAGGTGAGATGTCATACTGTCTAGTGGGAGATATACAGAGCGTTTTCAGGCAGGTGAGCTGTCATACTGTCTAGTGGGAGATATACAGAGCGTTGTCATGCAGGTGAGATGTCATACTGTCTAGTAGGAGATATACAGAGGGTTGTCATGCAGGTGAGATGTCATACTGTCTAGTGGGAGATATACAGAGTGTTGTCATGCAGGTGAGATGTCATACTGTCTAGTGGGAGATATACAGAGTGTTGTCATGCAGGTGAGATGTCATACTGTCTAGTAGGAGATATACAGAGTGTTGTCATGCAGGTGAGATGTCATACTGTCTAGTAGGAGATATACAGAGTGTTGTCATGCAGGTGAGATGTCATACTGTCTAGTAGGAGATATACAGAGTGTTGTCACGCAGGTGAGATGTCATACTGTCTAGTAGGAGATATACAGAGTGTTGTCATGCAGGTGAGATGTCATACTGTCTAGTAGGAGATATACAGAGTGTTGTCATGCAGGTGAGATGTCATACTGTCTAGTGGGAGATATACAGAGCGTTGTCAGGCAGGTGAGCTGTCATACTGTCTAGTGGGAGATATACAGAGCGTTGTCAGGCAGGTGAGCTGTCATACTGTCTAGTGGGAGATATACAGAGCGTTGTCACACAGGTGAGATGTCATACTGTCTAGTAGGAGATATACAGAGCGTTGTCATGCAGGTGAGATGTCATACTGTCTAGTAGGAGATATACAGAGTGTTGTCATGCAGGTGAGATGTCATACTGTCTAGTAGGAGATATACAGAGTGTTGTCATGCAGGTGAGATGTCATACTGTCTAGTAGGAGATATACAGAGTGTTGTCATGCAGGTGAGATGTCATACTGTCTAGTAGGAGATATACAGAGTGTTGTCATGCAGGTGAGATGTCATACTGTCTAGTAGGAGATATACAGAGTGTTGTCATGCAGGTGAGATGTCATACTGTCTAGTAGGAGATATACAGAGTGTTGTCACGCAGGTGAGATGTCATACTGTCTAGTAGGAGATATACAGAGTGTTGTCACGCAGGTGAGATGTCATACTGTCTAGTAGGAGATATACAGAGCGTTGTCACGCAGGTGAGATGTCATACTGTCTAGTGGGAGATATACAGAGCGTTGTCACGCAGGTGAGATGTCATACTGTCTAGTGGGAGATATACAGAGCGTTGTCACACAGGTGAGATAATGTCATACTGTCTAGTGGGAGACATACACAGTGTTGTCACCCAGGTGAGATGTCATACTGTCTAGTGGGATGAACATGAAATAGTTAATAGATGATATATTCCTCATGTTAAAATATATAATGTAGGCACTCACTGAAAAATAAAGGTGCCTTGGACAAATAGACAGAGCCATTCCTCCCTCATCTCACTCACTCACTCACTCACTCACTCACTCACTCACTCACCCATTCACACACCCACACACCCACACACCTACTCACTCACGTGCCTATTGTTGTGACAGATCTGTGATGAGATGGACCGACGCCCAGGTCAGTTTCAGCTCAACTCCAGCTCCCCCTGGTGGAAGACACTGAAAGCAAAGGTCAAGGACAACCACAAGGCTGTACAGGTCCGTGTTGGTGCAGGATACTTATTGGTTTCTAATAACTTGCTATGTGATATAACTGTGTTCAAGCATGTTGATGAAGTCTATTTTATTGAAACAACAATGTTGTTAACTCCTCCATCCCAACAGAGTTTGACCCTATATTGTTGTTACTGATGCTTCAGGCGATGTGTGAAGACGTGAGCGCCCCCCTCAACTACTATGCTGCCTACTGGCCGGTGAGTCCACCATCATCAGTTGTGTAAGGTGCAGTATATTGTGGGGCAGAGTTGTGTCCCTTTGACCTCCCAGAAGCTGGTGTTACTTGGCTGGAGTCCTAGATTTGCACGATAATGTTTCTCGCATGGGTTTCATCAAAGTGGTTATTTTCTATGATTTGCATTATTTCTTGCTTTTAACCCTCATAAAGTTAACACCCCATGATAAAACTGAAATACTGTTCAAGCTAGCATCATGCCATATTCTCACAAGAATCAGTGTTTGTAATCTCCATTGTCTGCCTCAGACCACATTTCAAAAACCGAAATTCTCTCACTAGGTTAATAGCAACTTGTTGACACTGTCAACCACTGGTTTGATGGCAACTTGTTGACACTGTCAACCACTGGTTTGATGGCAACTTGTTGACACTGTCAACCACTAGGTTGATGGCAACTTGTTCACACTGTCAACCACTAGGTTAATAGCGACTTGTTCACACTGTCAACCACTGGTTTGATGGCAACTTGTTCACATTGTCAACCACTGGTTTGATGGCAACTTGTTCACACTGTCAACCACTAGGTTGATGGCAACTTGTTCACACTGTCAACCACTGGTTTGATGGCAACTTGTTGACACTGTCAACCAATGGTTTGATGGCAACTTGTTCACACTGTCAACCACTATGTTAATATCAACTTGTTCACACTGTCAACCACTGGTTTGATGGCAACTTGTTGACACTGTCAACCACTGGTTTGATGGCAACTTGTTCACACTGTCAACCACTAGGTTGATGGCAACTTGTTCACACTGTCAACCACTATGTTAATATCAACTTGTTCACACTGTCAACCACTGGTTTGATGGCAACTTGTTCACACTGTCAACCACTGGTTTGATGGCAACTTGTTCACACTGTCAACCACTAGGTTAATATCAACTTGTTCACACTGTCAACCACTGGTTTGATGGCAACTTGTTCACACTGTCAACCACTGGTTTGATGGCAACTTGTTCACATTGTCAACCACTGGTTTGATGGCAACTTGTTCACACTGTCAACCACTGGTTTGATGGCAACTTGTTCACACTGTCAACCACTAGGTTAATATCAACTTGTTCACACTGTCAACCACTAGGTTGATGGCAACTTGTTCACACTGTCAACCACTAGGTTGATGGCAACTTGTTCACACTGTCAACCACTATGTTAATATCAACTTGTTCACACTGTCAACCACTGGTTTGATGGCAACTTGTTCACACTGTCAACCACTGGTTTGATGGCAACTTGTTCACACTGTCAACCACTAGGTTAATATCAACTTGTTCACACTGTCAACCACTGGTTTGATGGCAACTTGTTCACACTGTCAACCACTGGTTTGATGGCAACTTGTTCACATTGTCAACCACTGGTTTGATGGCAACTTGTTCACACTGTCAACCACTGGTTTGATGGCAACTTGTTCACACTGTCAACCACTAGGTTAATATCAACTTGTTCACACTGTCAACCACTAGGTTGATGGCAACTTGTTCACACTGTCAACCACTAGGTTAATATCAACTTGTTCACACTGTCAACCACTGGTTTGATGGCCACTTGTTCACACTGTCAACCACTGGTTTGATGGCAACTTGTTCACACTGTCAACCACTAGGTTAATATCAACTTGTTCACACTGTCAACCACTGGTTTGATGGCATCTTGTTCACACTGTCAACCACTGGTTTGATGGCAACTTGTTCACACTGTCAACCACTGGTTTTATGGCAACTTGTTCACACTGTCAACCACTAGGTTGATGGCAACGTGTTCACACTGTCAACCACTAGGTTAATAGCGACTTGTTCACACTGTCAACCACTGGTTTGATGGCAACTTGTTCACATTGTCAACCACTGGTTTGATGGCAACTTGTTCACACTGTCAACCACTAGGTTGATGGCAACTTGTTGACACTGTCAACCACTGGTTTGATGGCAACTTGTTGACACTGTCAACCACTGGTTTGATGGCAACTTGTTCACATTGTCAACCACTGGTTTGATGGCAACTTGCTCACACTGTCAACCACTAGTTTGATGGCAACTTGTTCACACTGTCAACCACTATGTTAATATAAACTTGTTCACACTGTCAACCACTGGTTTGATGGCAACTTGTTGACACTGTCAACCACTGGTTTGATGGCAACTTGTTGACACTGTCAACCACTGGTTTGATGGCAACTTGTTGACACTGTCAACCACTGGTTTGATGGCAACTTGTTCACACTGTCAACCACTGGTTTTATGGCAACTTGTTCACACTGTCAACCACTAGGTTGATGGCAACGTGTTCACACTGTCAACCACTAGGTTAATAGCGACTTGTTCACACTGTCAACCACTGGTTTGATGGCAACTTGTTCACACTGTCAACCACTGGTTTGGTGGCAACTTGTTCACACTGTCAACCACTGGTTTTATGGCAACTTGTTGACACTGTCAACCACTCGTTTGATGGCAACGTGTTCACACTGTCAACCACTAGGTTAATAGCGACTTGTTCACACTGTCAACCACTGGTTTGATGGCAACTTGTTCACATTGTCAACCACTGGTTTGATGGCAACTTGTTCACACTGTCAACCACTAGGTTGATGGCAACTTGTTGACACTGTCAACCACTAGGGTAATAGCAACTTGTTTACACTGTCAACGACTGGTTTTATGGCAACTTGTTCACACTGTCAACCACTGGTTTTATGGGAACTTGTTCACACTGTCAACCACTGGTTTGATGGCAACTTGTTCACACTGTCAACCACTAGGTTAATATCAACTTGTTCACACTGTCAACCACTAGGTTGATGGCAACTTGTTCACACTGTCAACCACTGGTTTGATGGCAACTTGTTCACACTGTCAACCACTAGGTTGATGGCAACTTGTTCACACTGTCAATCACTGGTTTGATGGCAACTTGTTCACACTGTCAACCACTAGGTTGATGGCAACTTGTTCACACTGTCAACCACTATGTTGATGGCAACTTGTTGACACTGTCAACCACTGGTTTGATGGCAACTTGTTCACACTGTCAACCACTACGTTGATGGCAACTTGTTCACACTGTCAACCACTATGTTGATGGCAACTTGTTGACACTGTCAACCACTGGTTTGATGGCAACTTGTTCACACTGTCAACCACTAGGTTGATGGCAACTTGTTCACACTGTCAACCACTGGTTTGATGGCAACTTGTTCACACTGTCAACCACTGGTTTTATGGCAACTTGTTCACACTGTCAACCACTAGACAAGATAGTTAGATCCACATTGTCTCAGTTCACCCAGCTGTAAAATGGGTACCTGTGAGGATGTGCTGGCAATGTGAGTGTTTAGTTCATCGCGCCTAACAGGCAGCATGGCTGTATGCTCCCCAGCGAGTTGAAAATGTATTGGAAAATACGATAGTGTCCTATGACCGGGGACAGTAATGTACATAGCACCGTGAGCAGGCAATGTGACTGGATATGAGCGCCATATAAGCAGACTATTACTATTGCTATTACTAATTACTATTACTATACGTTGCAGATCACCAAACTGCTACCCAGAAACTGTATGATCGTCAATGAGGGCTCCAACACCATGGACATTGGGAGGACAATGCTGCCCAACTTCCTGCCACGACACAGGTTGGTGCTAAGAAAATAAAAAAGGTGTATTTTTTTCTTACCACCACTGTGTAAAAACCTCTGGAGACTTATGTAATAACCTCTGGAAACTATGAAATAACTTCTGGAAACTATGTAATAACTTCTGGAGACTATGTAATAACTTCTGGAGACCTATGTGATATCTTCTGGAGACTATGTAATAACCTCTGGAAACTATGTAATAACTTCTGGAGACTGTAATAACTTCAGGAAACTATGTAATAACTTCTGGAGACTATGTTATAACTTCTGGAGACTATGTAATAACCTCTGGAAACTATGTTATAACTTCTGGAGACTGTAATAACTTCAGGAAACTATGTAATAACCTCTGGAGACTATGTTATAACCTCTGGAAACTATGTAATAACTTCAGGAAACTATGTAATAACCTCTTGAGACTATGTAATAACCTCTGGAAACTATGTAATAACTTCAGGAAACTATGTAATAACCTCTTGAGACTATGTAATAACTTCTTGAAACTATGTAATAGCTTCTGGAGACTATGTAATAACTTCAGGAAACTATGTAATAACCTCTGGAGACTATGTAATAACTTCAGGAAACTATGTAATAACCTCTGGAGACTATGTAATAACTTCAGGAAACTATGTAATAACCTCTTGAAACTATGTAATAACTTCTGGAAACTATGTAATAGCTTCTGGAGACTATGTAATAACTTCAGGAAACTATGTAATAACCTCTGGAGACTATGTAATAACTTCAGGAAACTATGTAATAGCTTCTGGAGACTATGTAATAACTTCAGGAAACTATGTAATAACCTCTGGAGACTATGTAATAACCTCTTGAGACTATGTAATAACCTCTGGAAACTATGTAATAACTTCAGGAAACTATGTAATAACCTCTTGAGACTATGTAATAACTTCTGGAAACTATGTAATAGCTTCTGGAGACTATGTAATAACTTCAGGAAACTATGTAATAACCTCTGGAGACTATGTAATAACTTCAGGAAACTATGTAATAACTTCTGGAGACTATGTAATAACTTCAGGAAACTATGTAATAACCTCTGGAAACTATGTTATAACTTCTGGAGACTGTAAGAACTTCAGGAAACTATGTAATAACCTCTCGAGACTATGTAATAACCTCTGGAAACTATGTAATAACTTCAGGAAACTATGTAATAACCTCTTGAGACTATGTAATAACTTCTGGAAACTATGTAATAACTTCTTGAAACTATGTAATAATCTTCAGGAGACTATGTGATAACTTCTGCAGACTATGTAATATCATCTAGAAACTGTTATAACTTCTGGAGTCAATGCAATCACACATTCTATAGTGACAGTGAGTATATGGAACAATGTCATTGATGGAAACATGAAGATCGTGTCAAACATGGTGCTTCAGTCAGGGACTTAAGAAAGTCATCAGGCTAACATCAGCTTGTAGAATGAGGCCTCGGACTAGTAGGTGTGACAATATGACTCCCAAACACATCGTGTTCCAGCTGACATGTTGTTTATAGGTATATACATAGGGTTGTTTATTGAATGTAGATATTTAGTGATTATTACACGAGCAAGTGTGTCATAAGATTTATACGAAACGAGTATGAAATTTTGTATTACACGAGCAAGTGTGTAATAAGATTTATACGAAACGAGTATGAAATTTTGTATTACACGAGAGAGAGTGAGGGAAATACATAATTTTGCACGAGTTTCGTATAAGTCATATGACACACTTGCTCGAGTGTAATAATTTCTTTATTGTCCATTTTATTCCTGTACATTTGTGCAGTAAAACACGGTAAACAAGTGTGACATCCGTCCTCATTTATGTCATGTTTATTTATGCGATATATATGACACTGGTTATGTTTCACCATAAGGGTAATAAGTAAATGTATATGCTGGAGATGTGACATGTCGTTATGTACTCCATCCAGGCTTGATGCAGGGACGTTCGGCACGATGGGTCTCGGGATCAGCTTTGCTGTCGCTGCTGCCATCTGGTGTCGAGATCATGCACCAGACAAACGTGTTGTGTGTGTAGAAGGGGACAGTGCGTTCGGTTTCTCAGGAATGGAGATCGAGACGCTGCAGAGGTAAGGGATCAGAGGTCAAACTGAACATGTCACAATGTGACATTGTAACGGCATGATGTACACGTCCTCTGAAAAGACGTGTGGAGCTGAAACATAAATGATGCTATCTCTAAAACTCCCCACAAGTTTCTGTGCAATTTGATCCAACTATGACCTTTACTTCAAATACTCACTTGGTCTTGTGTTCATCCATTGTTTTATAGGATATTTATATAGCGCACATATCAAGGCAACTATTGCATGCTCATGGCGCTGGTATTTTTTTCCCTCGATCATTGGATGTCAATTTCAACGGCACATCGTATTATCAATCCCTGGGGAGTATACAACTCTTGCAGCCACTAGGCGCACCAAGTCATTATGTCTTTCTCATCCTAACGAGGTTTTGAGGGACAGTGCATTCGGTTTCTCGGGAGATCGAGACGCTGCAGAGGTAAGGGATCAGAGGTCAAACAGTGCACACACACGTTCACAAATAAGAAGACCTGGAGCTGATGCTCAGTGACACAGTTTCTATTCAGCTGTGTGTAGTGATATTGAAGACAGGTAACACTTGTGACCCACAGGTACCAGCAGGTTTGGTCCTCTACACTGCTAGATCTGCATGTATAAATGTCTAGTGAGAGAGTACGTGCTGGTAGGTGTCTGTACCAACTTCTGTGAGCTGTGGGCATTATTGGTCCCCAGATGAAGAGTGGGTGGTCAGCCTTGTGACCTGCTTGGTTGCATGTCATGGTAGTCAGAATGTGTTGACCGATGCTCATGATGTCAATCACTGGATTGTAAGTCCAGACTCAACTGTTTAAACACACTACACCTGGAATGTTGCTGAGTTTAGGGTTTAACATGAACAAGCCAAAGAAACTTGTTTTAGCTGATTATGATAAAAATTGATATATGAGAAGAATTGAAGTGAGTCGTAGACCTCCCTATATATACTTATTTTAGAAAACATGCAATTCAGCAGTTTATGGAGTAGTCTATGGAGTAGTCTATGGTTAAAGCGTTTGCTCGTGCCGCCGAAGACCCGGTTCAGTTCCCCACTTGCTTGCATGTAGGTTCAATGTGTGAAGCACATTTCTGGTGTGCGCCTTCATGATGTTGCTGAAATAATGTTAGAGGTAGTGTAAAACCCAACTCACTCACTCACTTAGCCAGTTGGAAAATAAGCAATAAAAAAGGTTTTGGGACAGCAAAGTGACACAGATTTCAACCTCCCACTCACTGCTCACGTGACCATGTTAACTTCCTGTAATACTCCCCGGTCCAGACGGAGTGTTGGATGTGGAGACAGGTGAGGTGTGAACCCATTTCTTTGTTCCTTTACGGATAGTGCTGTCCTCACCTCATGTTTGTGTTCCAGATACAAGCTACCCGTGATCATCGTTATCATTAACAACAACGGCATCGCCTTCGGCATCACAGAGGACTCGTGGCAGTCGGCAGCAGAGGGGGACCTCACTCTCAAGTGAGCTAATGTCTCACAACATACACTCACCTCACAGTCAGGGACGGTTGAACGCGTGGGGTACTGGTTGTTGTTGTTGTTGTTGTTACTGACTGACAAAAACTTCACCTCACAGTCAGGAACGGTTTAACTTTGGGGGTACTGACTGAAAAACTTCACCTCACAGTCAGGAACGGTTGAACTTGGGTGGGGGGTTACTGACAAAAACTTCACCTCACAGTCAGGAACGGTTGAACTTTGGGGGTACTGACAAAAACTTCACCTCACAGTCAGGAACGGTTAAACTTGGGGGTACTGACAAAAACTTCACCTCACAGTCAGGAACGGTTGAACTTGGGGGGGGGTGTACTGACAAAAACTTCACCTCACAGTCAGGAACGGTTGAACGTGGGAACTTGGGAGTGGTGTGTACTGACAAAAACTTCACCTCACAGTCAGAAACGCTTCGACTGTGGAGGGGGGTGGGGTGATTTTGCTTAATTTAAAACCTTATATCTGTTAACTCTGTACTGACTCAATGACTGTTCCCTTAACTAACTGTTGTTGACTGTTTAGTTACAAAGCTCATTGGTCTATGCCGGAAATGGAGATTTTGTGTGAAGAAATTATAGGGATACTTGTCTCTGGCTGTGAGATGTTCATGTAATTGCTACACTGTGAGTTGATGTTTCATGGAGTTGTATTTACACTGTTGACCACAGTGTGGATTGACCAGCCAAGAGGCCTCTTGACCAACCCCAGGAAGCCTCACAAATCACACATAACACAGGGATTAGTGATGTAGAATGGTGCGAACAGAATGTGTCAAAGATTATTTTTTGAGAGCAAAGTTAAACAAGATTATTTTTATTTTAAAATGTAGTACATAAATATTGTTGCACTTTTCAATATGGTGCCCTGGTGTAGAGGTTCACAGCTAAAGCCCTGATTTGTGTTTCCAGTGCTCCACCATCTGGATTAGTGCCAAACACTCGCTACGAGAAACTGATCGAGGCGTTCGGAGGTAAAGGATACTTTGCTACAACAGCGGAGGATGTTGACCGATGCATGAGGGCTGCAATGGAGGACAGGTCAAGGTCGTCCATCATTAATGTGATGATCAACCCCTTGGCTCAGAGGAAAACTCAGGTACATTAGACCTTTGTCTACACATCCACAGTAGTGGGATTCTTTACAAAGTTGACATTTAAAAAAACAATTAAACAAAAGGTTTTAGTGAGACTAGACCAATTTAAACATAAATTCTTCTCATGTAATCAAGGGAAAATAGGCACACTGATGAAAACATCTGTCAACTTCAGATCACCTCAGGATGAGGAAGAGTTAACGCTGAATGAAAGTCATTTTGAAGTGCTCTTCTGAACTCTCCATACTGCTGTGGCAAAGTTGTAGTACTGTAATCATTCAGCTCTTTTATTATTTATGACTGAAAACTTTCTGTTTGGTTTCTTCCCTGTTGTGAATGAAGCTGTTGACAAATGTCTATGGTATCAGCAGTTCTAAGTGAACACTACGAAGGTACCTGCAGTGTGGCCAACACATGGTTGCCCCGGAGTATTGCAGGAGTTTTCTGTGGTGATGTTTGACTCCTGACACAAAGAAGATGTTTTGGAAGTACAATTCAGGGATAGATTGTTGAATATTTTTAGAAAGACCCCCATGTCAGCAAACATGTTGAAATCTGTTTAAGTTATTTGCATCAAATAGATTGAGCTTGTTGCGCTTAGGCAATATGTTTTAGCAGATAATTTACATGAAATGTTCCCCATTCTTCAGCCAGCACAGCTGACAGTAACACATGTCATCATGGTACTCCATTACACGTATTTATTATTTGCAGTAAGTTAACGGGATGTGAAGTTGTTTATGTTCAATGTTTTCTTTCTTCTTTGCAGGAGTTCTTCTGGCTGACTCAGTCCAAAATGTGAACTTCAACACGGCAACGTCAAACTCTGTGATATATTAAACAGACCCTTCCAAAGACTATATATATACCACTCTATGAACTTGTTAATAATCAGATTCAAGATTTCTGTGTCTCATGTCTGTTTTAGTCTATGATCGTTGTGACATTATTCCATGATGAAAGTATTATACGGAAGATAACCTTTTGTTTGTGGTCATTGTTACACTCACCAATGTTCTAGCAGGGGATGACACGCCAAACATCAAGTCTGGGTCAGACAATCCAGTGATTGATGTAATGAGAAATGATCCAAGCTTTAGGGTACAGTGAACCAAGTACCCTAACCTGACAAACAAACCAATTCAAATCGACTCTTACGATTAATAATAATAACAATAACAATAATTGATGGCGATGTACAGCAATGGGAGTAAACCAGGTGAAGTTATTCACCAACGGAGTCAGTCATTTGTGGAGAAGCTTTTTGAGAAACCATTGCATCGTGTGTACATGCAGTGCATGGAACAGAATAGTAATCCCACCGACTCCTTCGCCTGGATGAAGTCAGCTGGTCTTAAATGTGAAACTGAGGGCTTCCTTTTTGCTGCTCTGGACCAGTCACTTCCCACTCGCAATCGCCTAAATTTGATATTAAAGGAAAGTATCAATATGAACTGTCGACTTTGCAATGAATTTACGGAGACTGTCCAACACCTTGTCAGTGGATGCCCTTCCTTGGCACATACAGCATATCTTAAACGACATGATGGCATGGCTCATTGCTTTTTCTTTAGTACATATTAAAGGAAAGCTTGTTTAAAAAAGAATGTTTTTAAACCGGTCTTGAATGATCTTAGAGAAGGGAAATTGCGAAGTTAGTTTGGGGGAGCATTCCAAACTTTGGCACTGTATTTTACAGCTTTCCTCTGACTGGAAGAGCTTTGGGATTTTTATGGTTGCATACCTATGGTTGCTGCAGACCTTTCCTAAACCAGTATCTGTGCAATGTAGACTGGCATGGGTTGCTTGGGACACGTCCAACCAACCTTGCTTAATGTCTACTGATTTCTGACCTGGGCTTTCACACAGGACCACACACCACCACTTAAGTACTGTATTATTACCCCAGTCAGTGGATCAGGCTGCATTTCATTCTCCCCTCCCTGGGGAGTATGCCTCAGCTTCCTGCTTCCACTTGAATGTTAACAGCCATGTTGGATAGTTCTCATGATTTGCCAGTTTGTGAAGAGACTCACTGTTAGTAGTGGTATGCTATGAATATATATCCAAATGGTTATCTCCCTTGAACCGCCATGTGCTGTGAAAAATCACGAAGAAAAACATTTGGCTTACGAGTTTGAAACACCGTGACTGTGACTGTGAGTGTAAACGCAAAATTAGCGCATCATAGCATGAATCAAGCCCTAGCTAGCCCGTCAATATGTCAGTCTTGTATTTTTCGTGATATCAGCCATCAAAAATAAACTCCAGTTTCACAGCCTAAATTCATCATGTTCCTCATGAACAAGCCACCTTCTTATTTAACAAAGTTGCCACCTTATCCTACCAGGTACCCATCCACTGCTGGGAAGTCTGTACACCACCTTGTTGATGAAGGTGTAAGGATCTTCTGCAAAATGTGGCTTCTGTTGTAGTAAAGACAATAACCCATCCACACTAACCTTCTGTAGCTACACAACCATGCTCTAGGTACACATCATCACCAAGTAGTGGAATGCTGCACTACTCTCATATTTTGTTGTATAAACATGAAAAAACATTAATTTCTTTAATTTATTAGAAATATTTTGAAAAACAGTAATAAGGAAACTGGAAATTAAATAACATGATAACAGATACAGTTTATTGTCATGCAGCAGTTTCCTCCCTTTGGGAACATCTATTTCAGGTCAGTGACGGTAATTATTTATCAAAATATTAAGTTTGTTCAGAAACAGACATAAAATGATGAATTGTTGATGGTGGTGGCAATAGAGAATTTCAGGTTTGGTGTTGAACACCCAGAGATGGTCTCTGTGAACACCCAACTGCCAAACCGGTCTTAACAGTAAAAAATGAATGAATTACTTGCTGCATGAACACTATGAGTGAACTGGATGCTCCCTCAGAGGGATCACACACACACACACACACACACACAACACCCTTCTGAATGTACCTCCTGCTCAAACATCACATACAAATATCAAACATAAACTGATGTCACGAGGCAGGTGAAATTGTCCCATGAAAACTTCTAAAATATGAATCCTCTGGTGAAAAGCCTGAAGTATGATGTTGGTAAAGGAAATTGGTTTTCTGTCTGAAGGAATGTATTCTAAACATCTACAAACAGACAACTGAAGGAATGTATTCTAAACATCTACAAAAAAGACAAGTGCTGCAATTCTGTGACAAATAAGCCTTGTAATGCAATTTTGTAACCAACTTGTATTCACGCCACAAGGACGACAGTAGATTCCGACCAGTTTCACCTAGGAATGTGAAAAAGTCATAAGTATGTTACTGCCTTTCAGAACCCTCCAGAAACAAACAAACCTCCCACAGTTTGCCCTGGTGCCCAAGTACAGATTAAGCCACTGGATATATTAACTGATTGGACTACTAGGGACATACTGGATCTTGTGGAGAATAAAGAATCATGTTGAGTGAAGGCTATTGTTTGATGTGATGAAATCGTATCATCAGATGTGGTGAAGTTAAGGCCCCTTTCATACATGGCAGTGGTTTAGCTAGCACCACAATATCTTGCAGTGTCTTTAGACCACTTGAAAACACAGTTCCTGAAATGTCATGAAAATTGCTTGAAACATTTCAAAACTTTTTAAGTTAAAATGAAATATATATTCTTGTTGTTATCACAGAACTGAGTGGCGCTGGCTAGTCTGTTAGATCTCACCGATCCTGCAGTGCTTCCAGTACAGAGCTTCAGGTCATGTTCTCAATGCCTTCTTGTCAAATGATTTCTGGCACAAAACACAAACACACAGTGCATAAAACATCCAAGATGACAGTTATACAAACTACAGTCTAGTGCACACTTAATGATGGGAATTGATCTGATCTGAACACTGGTGCTGTCCGTCCTCAGCTCATCTCAAACCAATTGTTTCTCCAAACTTCTCTATCGCCTCTTCTTTGCCCCTCCTCTTCCTCTTCCCCCAACCTTGGCCTCCTCGGCTGTCCTCTTCACTCCTCTTCCTCTTCCTCTGGCTGGCTTCACAACCTCCATCTCTTCCTCCTCTGGTTCCGACTCTTCCACTTTCTTCCCCTTCTTCCCCTTTACGACCGCCTTCCCCTTGGCAGGACCTTTACCCTTGCCTCGCCCCTTTGGCTTCTTCACTTCCTCCTCCTCCTCTTCTTCTTCATCTTCTTCAACTGCTGCTGCCTTCCCCTTGGCAGGACCTTTACCCTTGCCTCGCCCCTTTGGCTTCTTCACTTCCTCTTCCTCCTCCTCTTCTTCTTCATCTTCTTCAACTGCTGCTGCCTTCCCCTTGGCAGGACCTTTACCCTTGCCTCGCCCCGTTGGCTTCTTCACTTCCTCTTCCTCTGCCTTCTTCCCTTTACCTTTGGGTTCTTTCTTGGGTGGATCTGGTTCCCCTGGAATCTTGCCACCTGGATAACGTTTGAGGACCTGGTTCCACCCACCTGCAGTCTTCCAAAATGTCCACTTATAGCCATCGGTCTGGATAGAGAACTTGACAGCCTTGACCAGTCGGTCGAACAGTTCCTTCTTGGTTGGGGGCTTCAGCTTCAGGAGCTGTAAGATGATGATATATTTCTGTCACCAAGATAACTTCGATCATATATTTAGCATTACTGACCTGGGCACCGTTCCTCAAGGTGACTGTAATGCTACTGTTGTCATGGGTCTAAGGCCTTAGAGTTAGGATATGAGAAGATCGTCTTAGACTCACTCATTTTAATACACCACTTTTAGTTCTGCGTAAGTCATCATATGTCTATTGCTCTGATTGTCAAGCCTACTTTGCCCCTGATTGTCAAACCTACCTCATACAAGTCATTGTAAGTCTAAATGTCGTATGTTACACTGATCATCAAAAGTACCATGTACAAGTCATCGTAAGTCTCACCTTGTACCAGTCATCGTAAGTGTTCATGTCGTTGATCTGCTGCACGGCTCCTTTCATCTGCTTCACCATGTCTGGTGAGGGGAATCCGTGGTTTTCATCGTAGCGTTTCAGGAGCTCCTTTCGGGATTTTCCAGCAGGCATTGCAATATCCAGGAACAGCACCTGGAGTTGAAATAGTGTTTAAAAAACAAATCTTCACAAATTTATCCTGCCCAATGACAGTTTTTCTTGGACCTCTCTGCATGGATATCTAATGACACCTCTCTGCATGGACATCTAATGACACCTCTCTACATGGACATCTAATGACACCTCTCTGCATGGATATCTAATGACACCTCACTACATGGACATCTAATGACACCTCTCTGCATGGACATCTAGTGACACCTCTCTACATGGACATCTAATGACACCTCTCTACATGGACATCTAATGACACCTCTCTACATGGACATCTAATGACATCTCTCTACATGGACATCTAATGACACCTCCCTGTATGGACATCTAATGACACCTCTCTGTATGGACATCTAATGACACCTCCCTGTATTGACATCTAATGACACCTCCCTGTATGGACATCTAATGACACCTCCCTGTATGGACATCTAATGACACCTCTCTGTATGGACATCTAATGACATCTCTGTATGGACATCTAATGACACCTCCCTGCATAGACATCTAATGACACCTGTATTGACATCTCACCTCCCTGCATAGACATCTAATGACACCTCTCTGCATAGACATCTAATGACACCTCCCTGTATGGACATCTAATGATACTTCTCTGTATGGACATCTAATGACATCTCTAAACGAAATCTTACCCTGTATGGAGTCTGAATTTCAGAGGAGATGGTTTCAGATCCAGAAATGTATTTTGCAATAGCACTGTCAACGTAAGCTCCACATTTAAACTATTTACAAAATGAAGCACCACTACCAACTAAACACATGCCAAATTTCTGAACAGTTTTTAAGTTAAGGCCTCAAATAAACACAATATATGGCATTGGTTCAACCCACTTGCACAAACTCAGGCAGGAGGGAGGGTGGAATCATTGACCTTCACTGACAGAATAGTTTCTGAGGGGAAGACGTTGATGGAGATTACTGACAAGTAAGTCATGACAAAAATATCATTTTCAGTCAGGACAGGTAAAATCACAAAGATATGAGCATGTTTTTTAATGGCGTGTGACAACCTCCAGTACCTGGAAGGCGAGGAGCTTCCTGCTGACGGCGGTGCGGGTGAGGGTGTTGGTCAGGCGGTAGTCCATGTCGGTGTCCACATAACCCAGCTGTGCATCGTCCTTCACGTACCACATCACGTTCCGCTTGAATGACTCTGACAGGTAGGCATGAGCTGCATCCGACCATCTGTCAACACACCGTCAAGATGAAAACAGCAACAACAGCAACAGCAACAACAACAACAGCAACAACACTGCCTCTACTACCAATGATGACTCTGACAGGTAGGCATGAGCTGCATCTGACCATCTGTCAACACACCGTCAAGATGAAAACAGCAACAACAGCAACAGCAACAACAACAACAGCAACAACACTGGCTCTACTACCAATGATGACTCTAACACTGCATCTGACCATCTGTCAACACAAGATGAAAACAGCAACAACAGCAACAGCAATAACAACACAACCACCAATGATGACTCTGACAGGTAGGCATGAGCTGCATCTGACCATCTGTCAACACACCGTCAAGATGAAAACAGCAACAACAGCAACAGCAATAACAACAGCAACAACACTGGCTCTACTACCAGTGATGACTCTTCAAGAGAGTGCAAGGGAGCTGTTGTAACCACATCTCTGTGCTGCTCTCTGTAAACGTTACACTTCACTAGTGACCACGCAGAGCTATGGGCTGTCCTACAGAGTTAATGTAACCACAGTTGACTCCATAACAGCACCCTGTAGATGTGGATGAATGCATTCTCTACTCCCTGGGGAGTATACAGCCCAAGCTGGCATATGTGTGAATTTACCTCACAGCCTCATCTTATTGGGAACCCATTCACTGGGTATCTGGGGCAACTTGAAGTCACTTGCCTCACGCAAACTGACCACAGTCCCAGAAACTCTAAGGAGCTGGCTACTCATTGTACCCCCCCCTCTCTCCCCCAACTGTAACTGTGACCAGCTGGGTCTGTCAACATCCCCTTCACCATTGGATGGCCGATCACTGCTTCAATACTCAAGCACAGTCCAGGCAAGAATGTGTTATCAAGAAACGGTTATGTTAGTTCAACAATTCAGTGTTATTCAGCATCCTAAATATGATATACTATGAATACCAAACCGCGAGGAATGGTGTGTTCCGAGAAAATTTCAATTTTGCCTTGTGAATTCACATGTACAGACAATTTGTAACTCTGAACTAACTTTTGGTATTGACCATGGCCTTCCTTTTGGGAATTTTGTAGACAATAAAATTGATTGAGTCAAAACGAACGATGGATGACATCATCGTCAATGATTTGTACTGATGAGGTCACATGACATCACACTGGGCAATAGTTGTTAAACAAGCAGACATCACACTGATGTATGGAGTTAATGTTACAAGGAGTCTCTGATAAACTCATTTGCATATTTATCACACAGTGATGCCAAGCTGATTGGTTCGGTTTATTACATTGATACACCCCGGGTCCATATGTTAATGTCTAGCAGGGCTATGTTGTCATGGCAGTACCTGTACTTGCTGGATGCTGTGAGAAGAAGAAGCCATTCCCCAATATGAGGACACGCTCTCTTGGTTCGATTTGTCTCAGAATCAATGAAGACCTGCAGAAAATATAATTGGACAGTTAAATTGTTATCTTTAAATGATGTAACAGACACAGATTTATCCAACACAAAATGGTGTGGTTTGGGATGTGATTATGTTTGAGAATATATAGACATTCTTGCTACTACTGGCATCTAGGATGGGTACATGTTTGAGGATATAGAGACATTCTTGCTACTACTGGCATCTAGGATGGGTACATGTTTGAGGAAATAGAGACATTCTTGCTACTACTGGCATCTAGGATGGGTACATGTTTGAGGATATAGAGACATTCTTGCTACTACTGACATCTAGGATGGGTACATGTTTGAGGATATAGAGACATTCTTGCTACTACTGGCATCTAGGATGGGTACATGTTTGAGGATATAGAGACACTCTTGCTACTACTGGCATCTAGGATGGGTACATGTTTGAGGATATAGAGACTCTCTTGCTACTACTGGCATCTAGGATGGGTACATGTTTGAGGATATAGAGACATTCTTGCTACTACTGGCATCTAGGAAGGGTACATGTTTGAGGATATAGAGACACTCTTGCTACTACTGGCATCTAGGATGGGTACATGTTTGAGGATATAGAGACATTCTTGCTACTACTGGCATCTAGGATGGGTACATGTTTGAGGATATAGAGACATTCTTGCTACTACTGGCATCTAGGATGGGTACATGTTTGAGGATATAGAGACACTCTTGCTACTACTGGCATCTAGGATGGGTACATGTTTGAGGATATAGAGACACTCTTGCTACTACTGGCATCTAGGATGGGTACATGTTTGAGGATATAGAGACATTCTTGCCACTACTGACATCTAGGATGGGTACATGATTGAGGATATAGAGACATTCTTGCTACTACTGGCATCTAGGATGGGTACATGTTTGAGGATATAGAGACATTCTTGCTACTACTGGCATCTAGGATGGGTACATGTTTGAGGATATAGAGACACTCTTGCTACTACTGGCATCTAGGATGGGTACATGTTTGAGGATATAGAGACTCTCTTGCTACTACTGGCATCTAGGATGCGTACATGTTTGAGGATATAAAGACATTCTTGCTACTACTGGCATCTAGGATGGGTACATGTTTGAGGATATAGAGACTCTCTTGCTACTACTGGCATCTAGGATGCGTACATGTTTGAGGATATAAAGACATTCTTGCTACTACTGGCATCTAGGATGGGTACATGTTTGAGGATATAGAGACACTCTTGCTACTACTGGCATCTAGGATGGGTACATGTTTGAGGATATAGAGACACTCTTGCTACTACTGGCATCCAGGATGGGTACATGTTTGAGGATATAGAGACTCTCTTGCTACTACTGGCATCTAGGATGCGTACATGTTTGAGGATATAAGGACATTCTTGCTACTACTGGCATCTAGGATGGGTACATGTTTGAGGATATAGAGACACTCTTGCTACTACTGGCATCTAGGATGGGTACATGTTTGAGGATATAGAGACATTCTTGCTACTACTGGCATCTAGGATGGGTACATGTTTGAGGATATAGAGACATTCTTGCTACTACTGACATCTAGGATGGGTACATGTTTGAGGATATAAAGACATTCTTGCTACTACTGGCATCTAGGATGGGTACATGTTTGAGGATCATTATAGAGACATTCTTGCTACTACTGACATCTAGGATGGGTACATGTTTGAGGATATAGAGACATTCTTGCTACTACTGACATCTAGGATGGGTACATGTTTGAGGATATAAAGACATTCTTGCTACTACTGGCATCTAGGATGGGTACATGTTTGAGGATATAGAGACATTCTTGCTACTACTGACATCTAGGATGGGTACATGTTTGAGGATATAGAGACATTCTTGCTACTACTGACATCTAGGATGGGTACATGTTTGAGGATATAAAGACATTCTTGCTACTACTGGCATCTAGGATGGGTACATGTTTGAGGATCATTATAGAGACATTCTTGCTACTACTGACATCTAGGATGGGTACATGTTTGAGGATATAGAGACACTCTTGCTACTACTGGCATCTAGGATGGGTACATGTTTGAGGATATAGAGACACTCTTGCTACTACTGGCATCTAGGATGGGTACATGTTTGAGGATATAGAGACACTCTTGCTACTACTGGCATCTAGGATGGGTACATGTTTGAGGATATAGAGACATTCTTGCTACTACTGGCATCTAGGATGGGTACATGTTTGAGGATATAGAGACATTCTTGCTACTACTGGCATCTAGGATGGGTACATGTTTGAGGATATAGAGACATTCTTGCTACTACTGGCATCTAGGATGGGTACATGTTTGAGGATATAGAGACATTCTTGCTACTACTGACATCTAGGATGGGTACATGTTTGAGGATATAGAGACATTCTTGCTACTACTGGCATCTAGGAAGGGTACATGTTTGAGGATATAGAGACACTCTTGCTACTACTGGCATCTAGGATGGGTACATGTTTGAGGATATAGAGACATTCTTGCTACCACTGGCATCTAGGATGGGTACATGTTTGAGGACTGACCCCATGACCTGCAGGAAGAATGACCACAGTCACCACTGTTACAGATAGGACAGTTTTACATATGTGCCACTGCCAGTGACAGAGTGAGGCACTGTTGGGTGGAAGCTCATGACCTTCAGGTGAGTTGCCAAACCCAGAAACATCTCAACAAAGATGGAAACATATTACCTTGACCCATGGCCAGATAATCCAATTTCCATTAAGAATCTCTTTTAAATCAATTTCCAGGAAAGACAAATGACTTAAGGGCCTAAATACTTACCATTAACTTATGGCTGATAAATCTCACCTTCAGAATCTCTTTCACAATAATTTATATTAAAGCCAAAGAAAGTAAGAACCTAAAGTGTTACCTTCAGGCAAGGGTAGATAATCCAACCTCACCTTCAGCCTCTCTTCTACAATGTCCTGCAGTTCGGTGTAGATCTCCATAGCCCACAGCAGTAGCCGGTGCAGAGCAAAATAGCCATTGAGACTGTTCTCACTGGTGTGCTGGGTTCCCTTGGAGAACTCAACAACGGTGGCACTCATGAGGTTTGGTATGACTTTCAGAACCATCTCGGCCACCGTCTTTCTCTTGCAGCTTAGCAACAGCTGGGCCAACTCCTTCATCGTGGCTTCAAATGTTGGCTGGATCTCGTTGCCATGGAGAGGGTGGATGTAGAGAGGGAGGAAGTACTTCAGGTCCTCCTTCATCACACTCTGAACCTTACCCATGGACTTCAGCATCCCGCAGTAGGACTCTCCCGTCAGGAACTCACATGGCGTGGTCAGGGAGGGTCTACTTGGAGGGCCCGACACAACCAGCCCATAACCGTACAAATCATTCTGTGATTTTGGCTTCGCAACTTTAAACCGATCCTTAGAGATGTAGTCGACAATTTCAGGCTTACCATCATCCTTGACCTTCGGGGCTTTAGCAGCTGGTTTGGTTTCTAAAGAAGGATAGGGCTTCTTGTATGTGTGGCCACATTCTTTACACGTGAAGCTTTTGGACAGTTTGAGGTTGTGGCTATTGGCTTCCTTCATCCAAGCCCAGTCAGATGCCTGAGTCTCAGCCAGAAATGAGATGACGTTCATCAGAACAGTCTGGACGGTATATCCAGGGGACCATCCAAGGGCCTTCTGATCAGCCCATTCTGTATGAATGTCAGCAAAGTCACTGAAAATGTTCAGACATATTTTTGTCCCTCGTTTTCCTGGTTTGGTTGCTCCACTGTTGTACTGGAAGCCAGAAGGAACAAACTCAGCACTTGGGGAGTCGTATGGATAGTTGTTGGGGAAGAACAGCAGCAGGTGGTATATGATGTCATCTTGTTTAATGTTACAGTGCCACTCAAACATGTCTTCATCCAGCGGTACAGCTGAAACATTCTCAACAGGGTTCTTGTTGAGCTCATCTTGGTCGAACATCAGGCGACGCATCGACCTCTTTCGTACTACATCAGCGCACATCTTGAATACTTGGGCAAAACTGAAACAAAACTGAGAATTGCCACAAAAAATGTGTATAATTTCAAACAGTCTCTTGAACTGTTCATCTTGTCTAAGGTCTAGAGCTACTGCCCCATGATTTGTACATGATAAATTAAGGAGAATAAGTTAGCTGAGTGGTTAGAGTGACAACCCCATGTGCTAAAGGCACAGGTTCAATTCCCCTTGGTCACAAGGGAGAGAGAAAAAGGTGTGGGCGGAATGTGGGTGTGGAGTAAGTATGGTGTGGTATGGGTGAAGTCGACAAGGATGGACACGGAACGACGGAATGAAGGTGGAAATAATGGAATGGACACAGGAAAGGAATGGACAGGAGCCAAGGAGGAACGGAAGAATATAGCATGGACATATAATATAATGATGGACGGAGACGGAAAGGACCAAAGATGGAATATCTGAATGGAAGGAAATGGACAGGGAATGGACGGAGGAGGAAAAGGAGAAATGAAGGATGGATGGAACGGACCGGATGGAAGGAAACGGAACGAAGGATAAATAGTGGAAATGGACACATGGACCCGACACGGAAGAAGGACCACGAAGAACAAATGGAAGAGCCCAGGAATGGAAACGGACGGACGGAATAAAGAAGGAAAGGAGATGGAATGGAAGGAAAAGAAAGATGGAAAGAATGGAAAATGGAAAGAATATATGAAAGAATGGATAAATGGAATGGATGGAAGAATGGATAGATTCTGGACAATGGCCCCAGGAACACACAAATGGAATGGAAGAGACGGAAGGTAATTTGTACTATACGATGTCTAGAGTATGCAGATTAAGGACTTACATGTTCACTATTTAGCTTTCTGTTGTTTCCAACTGTATTTTTGTGTTTGACAAATGTAATGACGTATCGTTGCAAAGAATGTACTTTTGAGACCTCTATCTTACGTCAGTATGTCAGACATTATCGTTTACACAGAAACGTACCAAACATTGTGTTTCCATGTTGTCAGGAGCTTTGTGTAAGACAATTTCACACGTACAGTGCGTTTCGAGCACACGTACTGCGTGATCATGGGCGCAACACAAACACGAGTCAGTCAAGGTCAGTAAATGGCCAGTCACATGTGAATGTGCATCTTGTATGTAGGCAAAGCTTTTGTGACAGTACATTCTCTCGTATCGAGGAGCTCTTGAAACATTTGCGTCAGCATTTAGACAGAAGGGATCCCATTGTTTGTCCATTTAGATCATGCAATACCAAAATTGTACATAAATAAACATTCTCATCTCATATAAGTAGAAAGCACAAGCACCACACATTATCGGAGTTATCAGATTCAGTTCTTGAAGCAAATAACACACATACAAATACAGATGAAGGACAGCTCTGCATATCTATACAAACAGACAACAGATTGGTTGAAGCTGATCTTGAAGAAAGTGAAATGGTAGTCTGTTTGCGTTTAGTGTTTTTCTGTTTCATGTAATGTTTTCAGACAGATCACTGTTTATATCAGTCCACGTGGATTAGTTATATTGTTAGAGACCTATATTGTCATCAGGACATAGGAAATGTTTCTTTTGTTTGCTGTTAATGCACATCATTTTGTCGCCTCTTTTCCCCAGCTTAAACAAAGTACGAGGGGGTATAGCTGTATACAGCATATACTATGCCAACTTAGGTTAACATCGTTATACTAACTCTGATGATGTAAGAAAAAGACCAGCTTCACACTGAAAACAATAAAATCTGAATCATCTGGTTCAAAGATTCATCTAACACAGTTGTATTCTTTTATTTGAATAGCATATGTTCGCAGCATTAAAAGCAAGACAATTATAGATATAGTTCCCATGTTGTAGCTAACATTCCAATGCTGTTGCCTTTCAGCTGTTATGTGCAGGTAACCCCAGTAAATGGTTATTACTTTATTTGGCTATACATGCACAGGAATTCTACCGACTGCAACAATTTCATCGTATATTTTACGGTATGAATACATTCGGTACACCGTAAAGCTACTGGTTTTGTACCGGCAGCACGGCTGCCAAACTATTACCGTATATTTTACGGTATGAATTATTACGGTATCCCGTAAAGCTACTGGTTTTGTACCGGCAGCATGGCTGCCAGAGTTTTACCGTATATTTTACGGTATGAATTTATTACGGTATCCCGTAAAGCTACTGAGTTTTTACCGGCAGCATGGCTGCCAAACTTTTACCGTAAAAATTAACGGTAAAGTTTTACAGTGCAAGAGCTGCTTTAGCTGCAGCATCGGCCTTAGTGTTACCTGCTATGCCGACGTGACCCGGCGACCAGCAGAGGACGATGTCACATTGGCCAGTAGATAGGTCGTTGAAAAGTTCTAAAATGTCCAGGATGATTGGGTGACTTGAAGTAACATTTTGAAGTGCTTGAAGGCAAGATAATGAATCTGTAAAAACGATGACGTTTTTGGAATGATTTTGCTGTTTAATGTAGGTAAAAGCTGAGAAGATAGCTTTGGCATCAGCGGTGAAAATGGAAATGTTGTCGGGAATCCTAGAGGAGACAGTCTTGGATTCTATAACTGTAGCACTGGCAACTTGGCCATGGTCCTTGGATCCGTCTGTGAAAATGGATGTGTTATACTTAGGACGTAACTGGTTGTATTCCTGTTGGAACACCAAGGGATTTGTTTCAGACTTTCTGAGTTTGGTGAGGGTAAGATCGACCTGTGGTTTCACCATCTGCCAGGGTAGTGAAGACAGAAGTCGGTAAGGTAATGATATTGAGATCGAGTTTAGCTGCAGATATGTGTGGTTGAATTCTGATTCCAAGTGGTGGAACCAGGCTTGGCAGATTAGGAAACGTTTTCATAGAGAGGGCTGAAAACACAATTGTATGCTGGATTGGACTCATTTGAACGTAATTTAGTGATATACTGCAGTGAAAGTTTAATGCGGCGTTGTTCTGAGGTGAGGTGAAATTGGGTTTAACGTCGTGCTTGAGAATATTTCGCTCATATGACGACGTGCATGCGTGTGTATGTGTATGTGCGGCTGCTTGTACTAGCCCAGTGAGGTTTTATAGTGCTAGTCCACTGAGATACCACGCCGCAGTGAAGCATGAATACCCCACTCAAACACATTATACTGACTCCGAGCCGACCAGTCCTTGTTGTACCCATTAATGCCGAGCGCCAGGCAGGGACCAACAAGTACCAAATTTTAACGTCTTTTGGTATGACGCGGCCGGGGATCGAACCCGCGACCTTCCGCTCTCCGGGCAGACGCTCTAACCACTACACCACGGAGGCGGTCGGCGTTGTTCTGAGGCTATGTTGGCGGGTAATGGGACTTTAGTCCTACCCAAAGCTAGGCCACTCTGGCAGGTGCTGGGTCTCTGTTCCTACCCCAAACTAGGCTGTGTTGGCGGGTGCTGGGTCTCTGGTCCTACCCCAAACTAGGCCACTTTGGTGGGTAATGGGACTTTAGTCCTACCCCAAACTAGGCCACTTTGGTGGGTAATGGGACTCTGGTATTACCCCAAACTAGGCCACTTTGGTGGGTAATGGGACTCTGGTCCTACCCCAAACTAGGCCACTTTGGTGGGTAATGGGACTCTGGTCCTACCCCAAACTAGGCCACTTTGGTGGGTGCTGGGTCTCTAGTCCTACCCCAAGCTAGGCTGTGTTGGCAGGTGCTGGGTCTCTGTTCCTACCCCAAGCTAGGCTGTGTTGGCGGGTGATGGTTCTCTAGTCCTACCCCAAGCTACGCCTTATTCTGGCATTATGAATATGGAATGAATCCCTTGAAACACATTTAAACCAGATTTAGAACAACACCTTTCAGGTTGATCTGACTTCTCTAATATTCACAGCACAAATATACCGGATCACTGGCTGAGTTCAGTCTTTCCTCTTCAGTTCTGACAAACGATGTATATATGTAGATGTACGCTTTCCAAGATGCCTGAGAGGCTGTGTAACTGCTGTAATGCTGTCCTTGAACATAATTCAAGCAAACCCGACTCAATGTTTATCATGTTGAAATACCTTTATTGTCTTAAAGGGAAGACAACTCTGTCAACCCCAGTTGTTACCATGACAGTGCTAGGGCTGTCACCAACAGACGGATCATAGTTATGTACAGACACAATATACAGAGTAGGTTGACAGAGCGGGAGACTGGAAGGTCAGCATTCATCCCAACAGGAGACCAGCAATACACAGCAGGTCACAAAAAACCATAGATTAACTGAAATCTTTAAATACATGTTCCAGTGCTCAACAGGATGTACCGTGGTATATTGGATTTATCCCATCCCGTCATCCAGTGATATATAATGGTCTTTACTTCAAGTCCAGCAAAAGGTTTTAAATTAAAGGAAAAGTACACAAGCTGTTTGAAGGTCTCCTCTTGGTGATGCGTGCTGCCTGAACATCAACACTGACGGAACCAGGCTGGGTGTGGCGGCAACAACATGTCTACATCAATGTACACAACAGACATGTTGTCCACCTCTTTGTTAATTTAGTGTAGAAGTTTAACGTACATGATATAAAGGTGAAGGACATCAAAACATTTAATGAGCAATGAAATATTAAAATTGATAGGTATTAATCATTAACAAGATTTAGACCTCACACATGCCACAATGCTGATATTGTTATGTTCTTTTCATCAACTCAATTACAGCTTGCATCCAATATTTTACCTGAAATATGATATGATGCATTTGACATTCTTCAGGAATCTAACTGGTCAAATACACACAACTTTGTGAAGGATAAAATGTCTTTGCTATTAATTATAGTTACCAGAAAAGAGAAAAGTGTCCAAAGTGTGTTACCCAGTAAAATCTCATCCAATGAGATTCCAGTGAACATACCCCGAGATACAGATGTGACATGTTGGTGGCTGGGAAACAGTGAAAGGCACAGTTCTCTAAATCAGCACCACACATTGATAAAAACAAAAAATATATTGCCCATAATGAAATATAGTCAACGGTATAGATCTGATAAATATGATTTTGAGAGATGTCTTTTGTTCCAGAATGGCTACAGAATACATCCACTGACTGGGAAGATGACATTTGACACAAATCCTCCTCTTGTAAGTGAAATACAAATACTCCGTTGTTCCTTGCACATGCACAAAGTGATGTGAGCAAGTTTGTTAGACTTGATACATTTCAATACCAGCCTTGGCAGCACCAACGTAAGATCCACACTGTAGTGGACCTCCGAACACTGACAGACACAAGGATGGGAAGAGGCATCAGATATTTGGTAAATTTACACATTAGTAAGAGCAAGGTTGCTGAACGACCTTGAGCTGGACAATGAGCTGGTCAGTTTTCTTTGTAGTTTCGTACAAGAAAACAGAAAATCTGGCTTGAGTCAAAATTATAAATAAATATCACAATTGGAAAAGTTTATAAACAGATAATTTACGATTTCAACAGTACACTAGAATACAGATATGTATGCAGGACAAAGTTTTTTGAGGAAAAAGTTGAATGAAGATGAAGATGACAACAATGACAAATGTACTAAAGCATCAAAACACAGTAATATGCACACTATGAGTCTGTGTTACTGAAAGCGTAGAAGGAATTCAAAATATAAGTATAAAAAATATTGCGTGAAAATTGTCAGAAAGGACCTTCATCTTTGAATGCCAGAAATTACTTGCTCATTTGTACGTGTTAGTAAATACCTACATTCAACAACATCTAAAAATATCACATTTCCCTCCCCAACTCCACCGAGCTACCTTGACTCAGTGAACTATTTCACGATGGAATGCCACATAACATATCGGCCACTACCCAGTGTATAGACTGTATGGCTAAAACAGCAAATTCTCCCCCCCGTAACAACCAGGGTTACAACCATGATGACAACCAGGAATGTCCACCATTGTCAGCGAATGTCAAGGTGTAACTTGTGTACAGCTAGCTAAATCAGAAAATAACTCCTCGCCTTATAAACAAACATAGTGTATCATGTAACAACGTAAATTTTCCTACCTCTACTATCTACGTCGAAGCAGTAGTTAACCTGTTTTTGTTGAAGTGTAATGAAAACCGCAATCAAGATTCATAAGTAAACACCAAGAAGTCACAACCCCTTTCAATGACAGCTACTTAAAAAAAAATATCTGTTCACATTAAAGTTAAAAAAATGGCAACAAGTAACAATTAAAACTTACTTACACAATGTACAGAAGACCCTGGTTTGTGCAACTTCCCCCCAACAGACAGATTGAAGTTATTCACTAGCTTGTCTGCAACATTCAGCAATATTCCAGCTACGTGACGACGGTCTGTAAACATTCATGTCTACACCAGACAATCCAGTGACCGATGCAATGAGAATCGATCTACGATTAATTTGCCTCTAATGACAAATTTAGTTGCTAGGGACCAATTGTAACCTAAATCTTCACACGACAAATTCCCAAACTGGGGTTGGACAACTTTTTATACATGAGACGTTGATCGTCTTTGCAACCAAATATCCCAACCTCTTACGTATTGTCTGCCATTAAACAATCATGACACAGTTGCTCAGCTGAAGCAAGCACATGTATATACATCTCTAAACAACGACCCCAGGGTCTGTCTTCACTGATGGCTAATGTTTCCTCACAATTCTGGTGAATACATCAACCGTAATGCCTGTGGAATCCATCGCCACAATTCAAACATGACTCAACACTCTGTGTGTCCACTCGATGTGTCTTCCACTGAATAGTTCCTGTATGTAGGTAGATAAAATAAAATACAAAAAAATATTTGTAAGAACCTTTCTGTTGAATAACATCTTAGTTGAAAATAAGCATAAGGCCCACATTGAGTCGACGGAATCGGGCAGCTGGACAAGAGGAATAGTGCTGATATGTCTTCATGAAGTAAGGCATGCTTCGGGATATGTCAAACATCGGAATAGCAAACATGCATAGACTATGATTAGAACAAATCTGATTACACAGTGGCAAGAAGTTCAAATATATGTTCAATTACATTGTGTAGACAGAAATACACGCCGCTAGTTAGTGTTACTATAAATAACATGCACGATGACATCCACAAACTATACAAAACCGGTAAATGCGTAACAATACTGACAACAGGGCAGCCTGCTAAATTCCCAAACTGACGTTAAGAAACGACCCTCACGATAAGCCTAATAATATTGTCATAAGCAGCACAAGTGCACACAAGCTTAAAATATAGAGCACTGAATATTTAAAAAACCCACACACTACCACGACTGCATTTCTCAGTCACAAAGAAATATTTTTTTTAAATTATATTCCCCCCAAACCATAACAAGGTAAAATTTGACTATATTCCTTTATTTGAACTCAGTTTAATTTACCAACAAAAAATAGCCATTTAAGATTTTTCAGTTAGCTGATTCTTGTGCTTACGCTAGAACTAATGACCTGTTGTCTAGAGCACCTGACTCAACGTGGATACATTGTTAAACATGTCACCTACCCACCGACCTTCACACGGCGAGGGCTAGAAGCAACACGTATGGTCATGTACTACAGAAAGCACTGCCAGACAGAGCACCCTACCAGCTGAGCTAGAAGCAATACGTAGTCACGTTAAACAGTAAGCTAGTTAACATACACATAGCATATTATGGCCACCTTGTTGAACAGAGGGACCATGTCAACAGTACACAGAGGAGATGTAAGCCCATTCCTGTTGTTGCATTTAAAAAACAAAACAATAGGGATAATTTATTAGGTGCTGTATAAAACTGTTTTGAAAATAACATGCCACATGGAAGTCAGAAAATGGTGCGCGGATGTGGCTGTTTCCAATACATCTTAACCACTTCCACACTGCCACGTCAGATTGTGGAAAAAGAGTTCTTAATATGGCCCCTCCTGAAGTTCCCCAAATGCAAGCACTCACATGGAATCAGTTGTGGCAACCCTCCTGGTTTTGCTGCAGCAATATTTCAACAGCAGTCTCAAGTATGCAGGTTTGGGGATCACTGTATTATCAACCAGCCCTAAACCAGCATACACGTTTATACACACATTCATCTCACCTCAAGACAGAGAAACCTGCTTGTTATCAAGAGCAAAACATTAAAACTTGAGACGCATCATCTTGATGCCCACAAAGCATCTTTCCTGCTTCCAAAATCTTTTTGCAACCAAATTCCATTCTAGTGAAAAAACTTGTTTCCATCGCTCCAGTAGCTGTAATGGTGGGGACTTGCGTGCCATTCTATAGAACAGGAACAAATATCCACATAACTTGAACAGATATCCATAGAACATGAACAAATATCCACATGACTTGAAAACATTATGAGAAGAGAATGATTCAAAATGATCTGTTCTTCATGCAATTATTTTGTTTTTAAAAAAGATTTGCTGAATATGCAATTTGAAAACTCACATGCATTGTCGGTAATGGTCAATATTTTTCGAAAGTTGATGACGAATATAAAGAGATTAGAAATCCATTTCTGTCGTGGGTTAGAAAATGTAATCAGAAGGCCATAGTCCCACACACAGCAATAATTATGAAGGATAAAATATGCCATAAAATCATGAAATCCATTGTCTTCTTGAAATATCTTCCCTACACGTTTCCTGCATTGCTCTTCTCTATGTATCCTACATCGTAGATCTACACACAATATATCCACAGATATTCATTCTGGCAAATTTAAGTCTCTTCCAAGAAGAATTTGTCCAAATAGTCACATCTCTAAAACACTCTCCTTCGGAAGTCTCTTGTCTGAATCATTATTATTCACGTGTTCCATTGCACTTCACAATTCTGTAGTTAGAGTTATCTTCCTTTCCACTTTCTTCTCAGGTGGAGCCACCTGCCAGGGTGAAAGGTCATTGCCATTGGCATGAGAAGCGTTTGACTCTGACACAGATCGTTTGTTCACTGTAACCACGTGACTCACTGTTGTCTTAGCACTTGAAGAAGAGGGATTCTTGCGGTTTGCTGCTTTTGTTCCGGTAAAGGATGTTTCCTGAAAAGAATACAATGAGACTACTGTATTTCTTATACCATTTGTAGGGGTGAAATGGTTAATAAGCATATAGTCTTGACGTTAAACTGACTGACTGAGTGAGTTTAGTTTTACGTCGCTTTTAGCAATATTCCAGCAATATTACGGCAGCGGACACCAGAAATGGGCTTAACACATTGTGCCCATGTGGGGAATCGAACCCGGGTCTTCGGAGTGACGAGCCAACGCTTTAACCACTTGGCTACCCCACCGCCCTTTTGACGTTAAACAATCAGTGCTGATGTGTCTTAGGGAGAAATGTACATTACCTTCATATTCATGTTGGTTATTTATGAATCAAATTTTTTAATCTTAAAATTGTCTTTAAGGGAATTTCAATAGTGTACAATTTCAAAAGACTGCTTTCATTTAGAAACATGAAACATGAAACATGAAACCAGAGCTTGAACAGTCAACTGTTGTCATTAAATACACAGTAAGTACACATGCACTTTCTGACCATGCAGAATACAGGTGAAGGGATATACAGGCTAGCTACTGTATGAGGTGGCCACTGGGGTATCGGAATATCAGAATAGTCCAACACAGAGAAAACACTAGCATTAGTAAACCTGTAGCTACAGTGGACTGCCAGAGAGCTGTACATTGCCTCGTCTTCAGGCAAAAGTGCAGTGTTAAACATTATCATACAGCATAGACACTTAGTAGCTGCAACTGGAAATGAGATGGTTATGTTTGGGTTCAAATGATGGCTAAGTTACGATGTATCAATTCAGTCATTCCATCACTGCAGGTCCCGTGCTCTTCCATGCAAACCTCGTCACGACCTTTCACTCGGATACAACACCCATCTGTCTGCAGATCTGAGGACATCGCCACACAGTGAGGACTGCACTGGTTTTTGAGCCAATCAGATGTCAGTTTTTTAAAACAATATAGCTTCACTTTGATTCGTAAACTGTGACCTTAGGAAAAGAAACCTACAGAACACAAATACACATTGATAGTGGATGGTCGGAGTTGACTCGGGGTCATCCTGAGATGACCTTGTATTGTATCGTCCTCAGACCTTGCTGCAGAGCGGTATCCTATCTGCACAAAACATCTGGAATGAGAATTCTTCCTAGTAAACCTCAGACGTATCAATAATCTGCCGTGTACCTCATGCTGGAAACCCTCCACCCATCCCCCGGCACAAGAAGTCGTACCTGTCATTCCGTAATTTACTGTAGTGATAACCTTTCCTGATTTTATTAGTAAGTGAAAAAGTTAATTTTGTGCTTATGCAACAATTACAATATTTCAAATGTAAACCCACAGACTGTAAATACATTCAGTCTTGAACGAGCGAACAGTGGGTGACGGCATAAGTATGAGCCTTTGTTGTCAGAGTATGATGACCAGCCAACTGACCTTCAGACTCATGACCAGCAATGATTACAGGCAAACATTAACCACATCATCCCCCTTTGTCCATTCCTGTCATGCAGGTAGTATCGCCATGGTTACATGCTACTACTCACAACCAACAAGCATCTAGTCACACAACCAGCATCTAGTCACACAACCAACAAGCGTCTAGTCACACAACCAACAAGCATCTAGTCACACAACCAACAAACAAGTCACACAACCAACAAGCATCTAGTCACACAACCAGCATCTAGTCACACAACCAACAAGCGTCTAGTCACACAACCAACAAGCGTCTAGTCACACAACCAACAAGCATCTAGTCACACAACCAACAAGCGTCTAGTCACACAACCAACAAGCATCTAGTCACACAACCAACAAGCATCTAGTCACACAACCCAACATCTAGTCACACAACCAACATCTAGTCACACAACCAACAAGCATCTAGTCACACAACCAACAAACATCTAGTCACACAACCAACAAGCATCTAGTCACACAACCAACAAGCATCTAGTCACACAACCAGCATCTAGTCACACAACCAACAAGCATCTAGTCACACAACCAAACAACACCAACAAGCGTCCTAGTCACACAACCAACAAGCATCTAGTCATCACACAACCAACAAGCATCTAGTCACACAACCAACAAGCATCTAGTCACACAACCAACAAGCATCTAGTCACACAACCAACAAGCATCTAGTCACACAACCAACAAGCGTCTAGTCACACAACCAACAAGCATCTAGTCACACAACCAACAAGCATCTATCTAGCGCCACACAACCAACAAGCATCTAGTCAACACAACCAACAAGCATCTAGTCACACAACCAACATCAACCAACAAGCATCTAGTCACACAACCAACAAGCATCTAGTCACACAACCAACAAGCATCTAGTCACACAACCAACAAGCATCTAGTCACACAACCAACACACAACCAACAAGCATCTAGTCACACACAACCAACAAGCATCTAGTCACACAACAAGCATCTAGTCACAACCAACAAGCATCTAGTCACACAACCAACAAGCATCTAGTCACACAACCAACAAGCATCTAGTCACACAACCAACAAGCATCTAGTCACACAACCAACAAGCATCTAGTCACACAACCAACAAGCATCTAGTCACACAACCAACAAGCATCTAGTCACACAACCAACAAGCATCTAGTCTAGTCACACAACCAACAAGCATCTAGTCACACAACCAACAACATCTAGTCACGTCAACAAGTCTAGTCACACAACCAACAAGCATCTAGTCACACAACCAACAAGCATCTAGTCACACAACCAACAAGCATCTAGTCACACAACCAACAAGCATCCAACAAGCACCTAGTCACACAACCAACAAGCATCTAGTCACACAACCAACATCTAGTCACACAACCAACAAGCATCTAGTCACACAACCAACAAGCATCTAGTCACACAACCAACAAGCATCTAGTCACACAACCAACAAGCATCTAGTCACACAACCAACAAGCATCTAGTCACACAACCAACAAGCATCTAGTCACACAACCAACAAGCATCTAGTCACACAACCAACAAGCATCTAGTCACACAACCAACAAGCATCTAGTCACACAACCAACAAGCATCTAGTCACACAACCAACAAGCATCTAGTCACACAACCAACAAGCATCTAGTCACACAACCAACAACCAACAAGCATCTAGTCACACACACAACAAGCATCTAGTCACACAACCAACAAGCATCTAGTCACACAACCAACAAGCATCTAGTCACACAACCAAGGCATCTAGTCACACAACCAACAAGCATCTAGTCACACAACCAACAACTAGTCACACAACCAACAATCTAGTCACACAACCAACAAGCATCTAGTCACACAACCAACAAGCATCTAGTCCAACACACAACTAGTCAACAAGCATCTAGCATCTAGTCACACAACCAACAAGCATCTAGTCACACAACCAACAAGCATCTAGTCACACACACAACCAACAAGCATCTAGTCTAGTCACACAGTCTAGTCACACAACCAACAAGCATCTAGTCACACAACCAACAAGCATCTAGTCACACAACCAACAAGCATCTAGTCACACAACCAACAAGCATCTAGTCACAAAAACTAGTCACACAACCAACAAGCATCTAGTCACACAACCAAGTCACACAACCAAGCAACAACCAGCATCTAGTCACACAACCAACAAGCATCTAGTCACACAACCAACAAGCATCTAGTCACACAACCAACAAGCATCTAGTCACACAACCAACAAGCATCTAGTCACACAACCAACAAGCATCTAGTCACACAACCAGCATCTAGTCACACAACCAACAAGCATCTAGTCACACAACCAACAAGCATCTAGTCACACAACCAACAAGCATCTAGTCACACAAAGGCACACAATGATTACATTAAACGTTAGTCAATGAAACAATGAAGATATCAAATATAACATGATGCAAATTTTCTCATGCTAAATCTATTCAGGTCCACAGAAATTTTAACAGTGATAAAATTGAGGTTCAACGAGTTTCTGATCAGAGTTTGCACAGCCATAGGACAATCTTCATAAATGTTAATAAACATCATCAGCTATCTGTAGTCTGTCTAATATCAGTTTTCTCAACAACTTCCAATGATAAATATTGATATGTAAACAATTCTGCGACTTCATCTTATGCCTAAATACAGGATATAGGATCTTCTACTCAAGGAGAATTTCCTGTATTTAATTTCAGTTTTGTGCCAAACAGAAAGAGTTCAGGTTCAGGTCACTTAAAGCTGGACCTGTTTCCACATCCTGGTGTCTTTCCTCTGTCACTGAATTTTCAATTAGCTCTCCTGAACAGATCTGAAACACCTGGGATTCCAACCAATCATCTTCAGTTTCTGGCATGTCAAAGGGATGAATCTCTGCACGATGAATTGTGGTGGCTAAGCCTCTATCGATACTCTGACCAAACTGAGATCCTAAGCTGAGAGCTGGGAGAGAGTTCACACGTGGTATCAGTGAGTGTTAATCTGGCTTGTGCTTCAGGAATTACCTGCCTGTGTCAACAAACTCTGACCAGGGGCAACAGAACATTGTTAGTGAGGGAACTCAGAAACACTTCAACGTTTCAATTCTGTCAATCTTCAACAGGGTTGTCATGCCAACTTACCATGCATAGTTAGTGAGGTTCTAAAATGCAAATTTGAAAGAACACGTTCCACAAGGAAAACTTGGCAATCTTGTTTGTTCAACGAGTGCAGGGACCTGAATAGTGTTGAGAAAACTTACAATGAAGACAGGCGGCCCTTCTCCCACATTGCTGTCTGTGCAGACATCTGCAGCCGCCATCTTGGATGGGCTAGGGGCAGGGGAGATAACTCTATATGCTGGATGTGACTGATGATGAGCAAAGACTGGGTTACAGGGTTGGGCCGGGGGGTGGGACTGGACTCTACCAGTTGGCTGGGAGGGGGTGAAGGACTCAATGTCTAATGGAAAGGGCCTTGGAGCCACAGAGTTGGAAACAGGGGAGACAGGTTTGAATATTGCTGGATCAATTGCCATGGCTGCCTCCTTCTCTACAGCAGCAATAGCAGCATTCAGGTCAAGGGGGAATGGTTTGACGTCCTTGTCGTCCACAGGCAAGGCCATCTCGTCATCGAAACTTTCAGAGGACTCCATTGCTCCAGATGTTCTCTTGGTGCCGCCAACCCTTGTGAGAGCATCACTTTCAGAGACCGGAACTGGGAAGGGATTGTCCTCCTTCATGTTTAGCGGGGCAGCAGCTGTCTGGAATGGTTCTGTCACTTCTCCACTATCTCCAGCTGCTTGTGGTGGAAGTGTTGGAACGGCAGCATGTTCGGCTGCTGGGCTGATCACACACTCAGACTCCGATGTCGGACTGGTGAGGGTGATGGCAGGAATCAGTCCGGGGCCGGACAGTCTCCGGGATTCAGTCCAGGCAACTCCGCTCTCAGGACCATGTGTAGAATTCATGCTAGAAGTGGGCTGCTTACTCTCCACAGAGGTAGAATCCGAGAAGGGATTTGTCGAAACAGGAGCATCAGTGGTGGAGAACTTAGAACCAGAATGGAACGCATGTGATGCTTGAGGAGCACTAGCTGGGTATGTAACTGAAGCTGGTGTTGTGACAGTGGACGGGGTGGGGGTGGAGGCAGGGTTAGAGGAACATGGAACAGTGATGTTGGAAGGGAGGATGGTTGTAGGGTTTGAGGGGAGAGTGATTGTAGGGTCTGAAGGGGAGGGTGGGTGTAGGGTTTGAGGGGAGGGTGGTTGTAGAGTCTGAGGGGAGGATGGGTGTGGGATTGGTGGTTGTCTGGGAGGTGGCAGGGAAGTCAATGAGTATCTCATCCCCTTCTGAACCCTGGGTTAGCGGAGCATGAAGCTGGGTTAGCTCTGGAGGAGCACACATGCCCTGCCCCTCCTCCTGGGAGGGGTCTGTCTGGGGGTGGGGAAGAAGCACCTTTTGGGGAACTTTGGGTCTAGCAGGAACTGGAGGTGGCTGCTTAGCTTTGGCTTTCTCTGGAGGCTGATGAAAGGAGCAAAATGAAACGAAATGTGAAGACAACGAAGACAATATAACAGAACAATCATGGCACATCACACGGAAATGAAAGTTACAGAAAAGCAACAAAATTTACAAAGATGATGGAACTGAAATTTAAGAGCTGGATCCCATTCCACAAAGTAGTCTTAATTCTACCACAGCTGTAGTTCCAACACTGAGAGAGTGCTATGACTGCTTTGTGAATCAGGGCCCTGGTGTTCTTCATATAAAGCACTTAAGACACAAACCTACAACAGAACATTACTCCTGAACATAACATACATACAGATATACAAAGGTCAGAGCCCTGCATTGCCTATATGGCTATACATAAGCTTGACAGTCATGAGTTCAAGCCAACTATTAAATTTTATGTGTTACAACAAAAAAAGCAGAAGTGCCCCCTCCACCTACAAAGCACACTCCTCGATCTATACACAACATCTGCATGTAACACCCTCCACTATCACAGCACACCCCTCAAACTACACAGGTCAAGTTCGATCTATACACGACAACATCTGCATGTAACACCCTCCACTATCACAGCACACCCCTCAAACTACACAGGACAAGTTCGATCTATACACGACAACATCTGCATGTAACACCCTCCACTATCACAGCACACCCCTCAAACTACACAGGACAAGTTCGATCTATGCAGGATGACCTGCTCACCTCGATATATACACCATACCTTGATCTATACTTGACATGTCAATACACAGCACCGCTTGATATACACCATACCTTGATCTATACTTGACATGTCAATACACAGCACTGCTTGATATACACCATACCTTGATCTATACTTGACATGTCAATACACAGCATCGCTTGATATACACCATACCTTGATCTATACTTGACATGTCAATACACAGCACTGCTTGATATACACCATACCTTGATCTATACTTGACATGTCAATACACAGCACTGCTTGATATACACCATACCTTGATCTATACTTGACATGTCAATACACAGCACTGCTTGATATACACCATACCTTGATCTATACTTGACATGTCAATACACAGCATCGCTTGATATACACCATACCTTGATCTATACTTGACATGTCAATACACAGCACTGCTTGATATACACCATACCTTGATCTATACTTGACATGTCAATACACAGCACCGCTTGATATACATCATACCTTGATCTATACTTGACATGTCTATACACAGCATCGCTTGATATACACCATACCTTGATCTATACTTACTTGACATGTCAATACACAGCATCGCTTGATATACACCATACCTTGATCTATACTTGACATGTCAATACACAGCATCGCTTGATATACACCATACCTTGATCTATACTTGACATGTCAATACACAGCATCGCTTGATATACACCATACCTTGATCTATACTTGACATGTCAATACACAGCATCGCTTGATATACACCATACCTTGATCTATACTTGACATGTCAATACACAGCACGCTTGATATACACCATACCTTGATCTATACCTTGACATGTCTATACACAGCACACAGCTTGATATACACCATACCTTGATCTATACTTGACATGTCAATACACAGCACTGCTTGATATACATCATACCTTGATCTATACTTGACATGTCAATACACAGCATCGCTTGATATACACCATACCTTGATCTATACTTGACATGTCAATACACAGCATCGCTTGATATACACCATACCTTGATCTATACTTGACATGTCAATACACAGCATCGCTTGATATACACCATACCTTGATCTATACTTGACATGTCAATACACAGCACCGCTTGATATACACCATACCTTGATCTATACTTGACATGTCAATACACAGCACCGCTTGATATACACCATACCTTGATCTATACTTGACATGTCAATACACAGCACCGCTTGATATACATCATACCTTGATCTATACTTGACATGTCAATACACAGCATCGCTTGATATACACCATACCTTGATCTATACTTGACATGTCAATACACAGCACTGCTTGATATACACCATACCTTGATCTATACTTGACATGTCAATACACAGCACCGCTTGATATACACCATACCTTGATCTATACTTGACATGTCTATACACAGCACCGCTTGATATACACCATACCTTGATCTATACTTGACATGTCAATACACAGCACTGCTTGATATACACCATACCTTGATCTATACTTGACATGTCAATACACAGCACTGCTTGATATACACCATACCTTGATCTATACTTGACATGTCAATACACAGCATCGCTTGATATACACCATACCTTGATCTATACTTGACATGTCAATACACAGCACTGCTTGATATACACCATACCTTGATCTATACTTGACATGTCTATACACAGCAGCTTGATATACACCATACCTTGATCTATACTTGACATGTCAATACACAGCACGCTTGATATACACCATACCTTGATCTATACTTGACATGTCAATACACAGCACTGCTTGATATACACCATACCTTGATCTATACTTGACATGTCAATACACAGCACCGCTTGATATACACCATACCTTGATCTATACTTGACATGTCTATACACAGCACTGCTTGATATACACCATACCTTGATCTATACTTGACATGTCAATACACAGCATCGCTTGATATACACCATACCTTGATCTATACTTGACATGTCAATACACAGCACAGCTTGATATACACCATACCTTGATCTATACTTGACATGTCAATACACAGCACGCTTTGATATACACCATACCTTGATCTATACTTGACATGTCAATACACAGCACCGCTTGATATACACCATACCTTGATCTATACTTGACATGTCAATACACAGCACCGCTTGATATACACCATACCTTGATCTATACTTGACATGTCAATACACAGCATCGCTTGATATACACCATACCTTGATCTATACTTGACATGTCAATACACAGCATCGCTTGATATACACCATACCTTGATCTATACTTGACATGTCAATACACAGCACCGCTTGATATACACCATACCCTTGATCTATACTTGACATGTCAATACACAGCACTGCTTGATATACACCATACCTTGATCTATACTTGACATGTCTATACACAGCACTGCTTGATATACACCATACCTTGATCTATACTTGACATGTCAATACACAGCACCGCTTGATATACACCATACCTTGATCTATACTTGACATGTCTATACACAGCACTGCTTGATATACACCATACCTTGATCTATGCTACTTGACATGTCTATACACAGCGCGCTTGATATACACCATACCTTGATCTATACTTGACATGTCAATACACAGCACAGCTTGATATACACCATACCTTGATCTATACTTGACATGTCAATACACAGCATCGCTTGATATACACCATACCTTGATCTATACTTGACATGTCAATACACAGCACTGCTTGATATACACCATACCTTGATCTATACTTGACATGTCAATACACAGCACTGCTTGATATACACCATACCTTGATCTATACTTGACATGTCTATACACAGCACTGCTTGATATACACCATACCTTGATCTATGCTTGACATAATCTATACACAGCACCGCTTGATATACACCATACCTTGATCTATACTTGACATGTCAATACACAGCGCATAGCTTGATATACACCATACCTTGATCTATACTTGACATGTCTATGCAGCACAGCGCTGCAGCGATATACACCATACCTTGATCTATGCTTGACATGTCTATACACAGCACGCTTGATATACACCATACCTTGATCTATACTTGACATGTCAATACACAGCACTGCTTGATATACACACCATACCTTGATCTATACTTGACATGTCATATACACAGCAAGCGCTTGATATACACCATACCTTGATCTATACTTGACATGTCAATACACAGCACGCTTGATATACACCATACCTTGATCTATACTTGACATGTCAATACACAGCACTGCTTGATATACACCATACCTTGATCTATACTTGACATGTCTATACACAGCACTGCTTGATATACACCATACCTTGATCTATACTTGACATGTCAATACACAGCACGCTTGATATACACCATACCTTGATCTATACTTGACATGTCAATACACAGCACGCTTGATATACACCATACCTTGATCTATACTTGACATGTCAATACACAGCACCGCTTGATATACACCATACCTTGATCTATACTTGACATGTCAATACACAGCACGCTTGATATACACCATACCTTGATCTATACTTGACATGTCTATACACAGCATCGCTTGATATACACCATACCTTGATCTATACTTGACATGTCAATACACAGCATCGCTTGATATACACCATACCTTGATCTATACTTGACATGTCTATACACAGCACCGCTTGATATACACCATACCTTGATCTATACTTGACATGTCAATACACAGCACTGCTTGATATACACCATACCTTGATCTATACTTGACATGTCAATACACAGCATCGCTTGATATACACCATACCTTGATCTATACTTGACATGTCTATACACAGCACGCGCTTGATATACACCATACCTTGATCTATGCTTGACATGTCAATACACAGCACTGCTTGATATACACCATACCTTGATCTATACTTGACATGTCAATACACAGCACTGCTTGATATACACCATACCTTGATCTATACTTGACATGTCTATACACAGCACTGCTTGATATACACCATACCTTGATCTATACTTGACATGTCAATACACAGCACTGCTTGATATACACCATACCTTGATCTATACTTGACATGTCTATACACAGCACCGCTTGATATACACCATACCTTGATCTATACTTGACATGTCTATACACAGCACTGCTTGATATACACCATACCTTGATCTATACTTGACATGTCAATACACAGCATCGCTTGATATACACCATACCTTGATCTATACTTGACATGTCAATACAC